GCTTCATCATGACGATACACGGCACGGAGCTGAACCACCAAGAGGGCATACGCGCAACTCAGCTGCAAGCAGGGAGGAGAGCTCCAAAAGTCAATGGAGGGGGGGTAAGCTGCGGGACTTTTGCGTGGTGTAAAGGTCTCATTCGGGAACAGCGGGTGTTCAATTCTCGATATCCCGCGTGAATGAGTTTGCCGTGGCTGGCCTGGATTCAGAAGATCCCAGACGGTGGCGGTTATAGAGTGGCCATCACTTAGATACGCGGTGTGGAGTAAGGAGGGTCTCGGCCGATCGACCCCAGGATTCCTGTGACGGCGGAAGGACACTTGCGTAGCCCCCGGGCGGACTGATCCGCCTCTCACGGGCCGTTCTGGGAGAGTCGTCGTTTATCCCAGGCAAGCCATGCCGCTTGGCAGAGACATTGATTTCCTAAACGGGCCTTAAAGGGCGATGCATGCCATGCCATGTGATAGTGGCTGTCTGTGTGTGGTGGTTAATGGGTTCGGCGGAGTTGAGTGATCAGCCTGAAGAGTGAGGAGGTAGTCACTCAACTGCATTAGGAGATCGTCAGTATCGAGTATGATACCTCAAGGGTCCCACAAAGTAGCACTATGCATGCTGTTGATTCTCAATGAGGCAACGCATGGATCGCATGCTTCTGTCAATTCTATCAAGTCAAGATATCCAAGACCGTTACGCGTTCAACGGTCGAGAACGACCAACGGGTTTCGAATCTGGTGATTCTCGGCTCGTGAGGCTTTGAGTTCAGGGATAAAACTACCGAAGAGACTATTGCCTTCTCAGCCTCATTGGCGGCGCCATCTCATTCCTCATTTCGTGTTCAGCAGAGACCATGCACGCCACCAAAGGTCGTCACCCCAAGAGCACGTGTAATGCAAAAGGAAGAGACAGGTTTAATTGGGAACGGCGCGTTAATTGAATTTTTTGCAATCGGGTTTATGTCCGAGAAGAGCCAAGATGGGCTTGTGAGGTGGAAAGACAGATGTCAAAGTCTCAGAGATGGTGATAGACGAGCTACAGGGCTCGGCAGGTCATAAATCCGACCCCGGGGAATCAGGCCCCGGACTCGGGATCCCGGGTCGTTTCCCCCACTCCGGGCAGCTCAGACCCCGCCATCGAAGGCGCGCCCTTCACTGAGAGAAACTCCATACTGCCCCACCAAAGACGTCAAAACACCATGGATAAATTTAGCGATGTTGGTTTACTACACGATTTAAACTTCTAACGATCGCTATTTTTTTTATTCAGACGTATTTTATTCCATCTAGAGGGTATATTTGCTTTTCTATACAAGATACATCCCCAATCGTACACAATGGCGACAATTCGACATGCGCGCAAGGAGGGTGAGCTACCCCTCAGTTAGAGATCCTTCTAGAAGCTATGTCATGCTAACCAGAGCTCTCTCTAGATGCGCCTACAATCGTGCAGCTTATCCAGGAGCTTGCCGACTATGAGAAAGAGCCCGATGCCAACAAGGCTACCGTCGAGAGCATTGAGGCTACAATCGCCTTTGCGCCGTCCGATTCGCCCAACGCTGACGCTTCCATCATCCCCGACACGGAACCAATTGCGCCAACTCGACCTGCCCGATGCTTGCTCCTTTTCTCTCCCGAGGGCGTCGCCGTAGGCATGGCCTTGTATTTCTACAACTATAGCACATGGCGGTCCAGCGCAGGCATTTACCTCGAAGATCTCTTTGTGCGAGAGTCGGAACGCGGCAAGGGATACGGCAAGAAGTTGCTCAGCACTCTAGCCAAGCAAGTTGTTGCTATCAAGGGAGCTCGTCTTGATTGGGTTGTTCTCAAGTGGAACGAGCCTAGCATCAAGTTCTATGAGAGCATTGGCGCCTATGCGATGAACGACTGGGTCGGCATGCGAGTGGATGGCGATGGCTTGAACAAGCTGGCCAACCTGACGGATTAGAAGAGTCGTGATGCATTGGGTATAGACCGCGCATCTGCGCTAGATCGCTAGATGATCACCCGCACGCGCGGGATCTGCAGCTTGGGCTGATGGTTCGGTTCAGGAAGTAGGAGTCTCGGTCTTGGGCTCGATCAGCCGGCCTTGTTTGTCGACACCATCAAAGATACAAAGCTGCCTATTAGATGCGCAGACTGTGGTCTTTTTGATAGTTCCCCAAGTAAAATTGTGTTTTAGCGTCCGTGGATTCTGTTCCATCTTTGGTGTAAACTGCCATGCTCGTTGATACGCTCGGCGGTACCATCGTGATGAAATCTCGCGCTTCTTGTGCTGTGCTTGATATGGCTCCTCGTCTTTTCCCTCGGGCCTGACGAAAGAGCGCTTTTTCGGCCTGCGTTCAACCCTGGAAGCGGGCAGGCTCGCATAGGCTTCCCAGTTCCAGTTCAGCATAGTGTTTTGTTCGACGGTCTGTACAGGGCTTGCGGCTGGTCGTCTTGTGGGAACTGTCCACTCGCCCTGCTCCTGTGCCCCCTGGCTCAACTGTCCAAGCAGTTCCCATTCGCCGTTGCCCAAGGGGACCATCATCTTGCTAATGGCTCTCCGCCAAAAGTGAGCCTCCTTCGCTCGGATAACATTCACAGCGAGTGGCTTTCCCCAGAGGTTGGTTTTAGGGACAGCCCCCGACGGCTTTAGACCCTTGATTTTCCGCTTGAGCCAGCTAAGAGTGCTGTTTTTTTGCAAATCCCGCTGAGATGATAGGAGCCTTGTGACCTTGTCCAAGTCCCACTTCTCGTAAAAGTCGTTTTTGATGTGTACTGGTTTGTTGTTCCATCGACCCGCGGGGCGTATTTCCTCGACATGCTTGTTTGCGTCTGTACTTGTTGCGTCTGTATCATTCGGGGAACCCTCTAGCTCATCCAATGCCTTTGATAACTCGACAGCAGCGCTGTCAGTCTTCCCAGCGCTGCCCTTGGTAGCATCCCCATTAATGAGAGCCTCCAATGCATCCGAGTCTTTAGGACCTTCTGGGCGCACAAAATCGGCAACCAGGCTTCTTCTACGAAAGCCCATTCTTCCAAAGCCATGATACAAGAGCTTTTCCATGGACGGTCTGTCCCCACAGTTGGCCGCTCTCAATGTGCGCAACGCATTGCTGGCTTTGGCGCGGTGCTTCTTTTTCATGGAATGATTTCTGCGATGATTTCGAAATCGAGTCCGGATAATCGAAGTGATAGTGGGCGAGAAGGCCGGGGGGAGATAGGAGCATTCTCGGAGGAGATGTCGGTAGAGATGGAGAGGTGGGAGGAAGTCGGGAATGGCGGCGTTTGGGCGAGGCATCGTGGGCGGTTGTACGGGGAGGAAATGAAGAATTAAATGGAGGTGCAAGGCCCCTAAGTTAGGACATTAAGTCAAGTTTGTAAGGCAACTATTGTCATGTCAAAGATGTGCAATTAAGCTCACGATTCAATAAGACTGGGTCTTTGGAGCTGGAGCTTTGCTTGTGATTTTTGATATTGGAGCTGAGTGCGGATTAACTCCGGCAATGGGCACTGGTCTCACAACTTACGCTGTGGAGAACAATACTGATCTGAAGACGCGAAAGAGATGAAAGAGAATACTCGGTGTCAGCGAACATAAGGAATTGAGTATTGGCCAAAAAAAATTGACAAACTCTATCATGTCGTGATGAGGTTAACATGAATTGGTTCTGGCGTGTGTTCTAAGAGTGCTGGAATGGATCATCACTTTCATCACGTTCACTATGGCACGCCGTAAAGTACATCCATCTTGACCTCATCTGCCTGGATGCAGTGTCACTTTCACAGTTGTGCACAAACTTAGCTACTCCGCCTTAACATTGTCCAAGTCTCAGTGCTCTGTGCAACGTGCAACACACGGCAACGAATGCACAAGTTTTATGCACATTGGATGCCGTGCACATCTTGCACCACGTGGTTCCACACCAAAGACTGGGCAGGACTGTTGCTGGTCGCAACAAGTGGTTGCATTAGCGGCTTCAACCACTCACGCATGGCCTCGAGGCAAATGACCGAGAGTGTCATTAACCATGGTCGTCTGCACAACTATGGTCTCCCAGTGAGCCGACTCGAAACAGCAGGTGGCGGTGGTCGCTGGAATGGGCCGGCTGGGGGGCCTCATCACCAGTCGAGCGAGGCCATTCAACTAGCGGGGTTCACGTCTTTTACGCGCCCAGAGCGCGAGACACGTTCCCCGACGACGCGAAAGCACGAAACCGACACGTCTCGATTAATTGAACGCATCCCGTCCTGTCGTCGATTCCACGTCGAAGCCCACTGATGCAAGTGAGCACAACCTAGCAGTCGGTTACTTTGACGTGCATGTAATTAACACGAGCACGAGCGCCGTCGCTTGAGCAGGTACAGAACCTACGTGCGTCTACGATCCCGCGCACAATTAAATCCATGCCAACTCTTCTCTGATCTGTACAAGGAGCAGATGATTGAACAAGTCACATCCATCAAGCATCAGCAATTTCAACTCGCAGCTACAGCTTCAGCTCTTCAGCGACCTGTCGCCCGCTAAGCTGCCACCTCACAGCACCCTCCTCAGCACCCCCGCAAGTCCCTCCAGGGCACTCGTTCAGGTACCTCGGACCCCTTCTGCACTGAACCTCAGCTGCACAACTCCGCCCGGCCCACTGCAGCGCAGGCTATCTCGAGGAGCTCATTTCGCCTCGACTCCATCTCAACTCTTTGCAACCACCAGTTTTTCGAGCGCACAAAACCTTCGAAACTCGACGACGGATAGGCGCATGGGCAGTCCCAGAATCCCGGTTTCAGCCTCATGAGGCGCTTCTCTTCTTCTGTATAATTCTCATCGTCCTTCTCTTGTCGCCTTTGACGTCTTCTACGTACCCCCTCGACCGATCCTTGCATTGGCGCTGATGCTGTTGCACCCTCAACGACTCAATCCATATACCTCGTCTTCTTGACCGTCAACGACGACAGCATTCAACAACTTTCTGGTTCTCACAAAAGATGCCTTCGGCATCGCAAAACTCGCAGCAATCTTTCAACATGAGTCAACAATCGCAATCCGGCCTCTCCGCCTCCTTCCATCGAGGTTATAATGGAGACCCTGAGGGACCCCAGATCTATTCGGTACGCAACACCCTTTATCGTCTGCAACTCCCCACAGAAATCTACTGGACTATGCGATCACTAACAAGAGCAATTTGGAAATAGGCATCCTATTCGGGCGTCGATGTATACGAAATGGAAGTCAACAACATCGCTGTTATGCGCCGTCGCAACGACTCATGGCTCAATGCCACGCAGATCCTCAAGGTTGCCGGAGTCGATAAGGGGAAGCGAACCAAGATTCTCGAAAAGGAGATCCAGACGGGCGAGCACGAAAAAGTCCAGGGAGGCTATGGAAAATATCAGGGCACCTGGATAACATTTGACCGTGGTGTTCAGGTCTGCCGGCAGTACGGAGTCGAGGAGCTACTGCGACCATTGTTGACGTATGACATGGGCCAGGATGGTGGTGTTGCTGGTCGAGGCGACTTCAATACACCAACAAAGGAACAGGCCATGGCAGCTCAACGCAAGCGCATGTACAACCAGAGCGCGGATGGAAGGCCGAATGGGCTCTCGGGGACCTTTTTCAAAAACATCTCCAGCACCGCTTCGCATGCCGTCGCTGCCATCAGCAAAGCCCGTTTTGATTCTCCAGGACCTCGAAGTCGCAACGGCCCTACGAGAGCGCCGAGCTTCAGTCGCCAACCGTCGATGCAAAATGGTGATGATTTCCCCGGTAACTCTCAGCAAAGCTTTGCCTCGGACTACGGCCAACAAGTCGACTCAGCTTATTCGACTCAGCAACAAGCCAGCGCAATGCAGTTGAACGAGCCCGAACCTCCTCGAAAACGTCAGCGTGTGACTATGACGCCCGCCGATAGCTTCAGCGCTTATGGTCAGAATATGGATATATACGCCGCGGCTTTTCCAGGGTCTCCAACCGAACCCAATGAGTCCTTTGTCTACACCCAAAGCGTCGTTCAGGATCGATCACCCGTCGAAGAAGGCAATGGACCCCTACCACCTCTGCCTTATGAGATGTCGCCCGACGTCGAGATGAAGCGCAGCATGCTGATGGGTCTATTCATGGAACCTGCCACCACCGACGCCTCCAAGCACGACATGCTCCGCACCTTTACCCCCCTCGAATTGGATATGCCCATCGATCTGCAGAGCCATACAGCGCTCCACTGGGCAGCCACACTCGCACGCATGCCTCTTCTCCGCGCTCTGATTGCTGCCGGCGCCTCCCCAGCCCGTGTGAACGCCTCTGGGGAAACGGCTTTAATGCGCGCCTGTTTAGTGACTAATTCTATGGACCATGGGTCATTCCCCGATCTGCTCGAAGTCTTGGGTGGAACGATTGAGGCTCGCGATCAAAAGGGACGGACGGTTCTCCATCATATTGCGGTCACTAGTGCAGTCAAAGGACGCAATGCTGCAAGCCGGTATTACCTTGAGAGCCTCTTGGAGTGGGTAGTGAGGCAGGGCAGCGCTCCCAACAGTCAAAACACACAAGCCAACGGCAACGTCCCCAGCAGCCAACAATCGGCCATTCCCAAGATGGGCATTGCGCGCTTCATGAGCGAGATAGTTAACGCCCAGGACAGCGCCGGCGACACAGCCCTGAATATTGCATCACGGATTGGAAACCGAAGCATCATCTCACAACTGCTAGAAGTTGGCGCTGACCCGAATATTCCCAATAAGGTGGGATTGAGGCCAGTTGACTTTGGTATCGGAGGTGAGAGTACCGAGGACAAGGCCAATGGCGAGACCAATGTCGAGAAGAATGGTGTTACCGGGTCAAGTCAGCGAAGTCGGGAGAGCAGCGATGAGATCGTTGCCTGTAAGTCAAGATATTTTGTTTGCCCAAGTCTGATACTAACTCTTCATAGCGATAACTCACCTCCTGACCGAGACTGGCTCAGCCTTCCAAACAGAGATGAAGTCGAAACAGACGTCTCTCGATACTCTCCACAGCACCCTTCGCACAACATCAACACAACTCGGCGAAGCCCGACGGAGTCTCGAGCATTTATCTGCCACACTCAGGAAGCAACAATTGGCTCGACAAAAGGTGTCCAACCTATCACACGCTCGCGAGGACGAGCAAGTGCGCCTTATGCAGGAACAATCCCGTACCTCACAGCCCAACCCCTCATCATCATGGGAGACGGAGCTATCGGCCATGCTCGAAGCCGCCGACGATACTTCTGGTGGAGGCTTCAGTGGAGAGGGCCTTCTTCCTTCTGCAGCAGTCCTTCGCGCCCGTGTCAACGCCGTTCAAGGTCGTCGCGACATGACAAGAAAGATGGTCTCTGCTCTCAAGGGGCGAAGTCGTGACGTCGAGGTCAAATACCGCCGCGTTGTCGCACTATGCACGGGTGTCCAAGAGGCCGAGGTTGACGCCGTCGTCGACGGTCTACTCAAGGCCGTTGAGAGTGAACACGAGGAACTCGAGATTGGTCGAGTCAGACGCTTCCTCGGTGGAGTAGAGGGTGTCGTGCACTAGTAACTGCACCATCGTTCTCGTGTTCCCTTCAACCTCTCTGCCCGATAATCATCATGTCAGGGCCCGCCCCTACTAACTACATCACCCTCGACGGCTCAACCACCATTTCTCTAATGACTATCGCCTCGCCTGTACGAAACCATACCTTTTTTCTTTGTTTGTATACCGGTGCTTTTGATACCCACCGAGCCCTAAAAGCACCCCCCCCCCCCCCCCCCCCTAGCTCGTGGTGGATGGGAAACGGCGTTCCTGATATACGGTTAATGGTTCCTTGTTTTGTTTTCTTATCTTCTTGGAGGTCAGCTTTTTTGGCCTTGTTGATGTGGCCTCTGTTGGATGAGATTTTGGACGTCTGGCAAAACGCTTTGTTTATATGTTATTAGCTACGTCAAGGTACTCTGCGAAAAGAGTCCAAAAGGTATAAAGTAGGAAGAGTCCGTTGGATTGGAAGAGGTATTTTTGATGATGGTGTGCAACCGAACCATATGAGCACCGAGAATTGATTCTATTGACATGTCACGATGTCTGTCTTGATTATGATTTCTTTCAAGCTTTGAAAAATGAAATGTTTGCCCAGAAATGTGAGGAGTCTGTTAGCTCCGTGGACACCTACCAAATGGTCTCCAAGCCATAACTCCACAAACACCGTGTGATGCCTATCCATAATATATAAATCCTTCCTTGCCCTGGATCTCATTGTAATCCTTGGGTTTGAATGGTGTCAAACACTTTGTCATGCAGCCTAAGCAATGCCGTTCCGGTATACACCCTCCCACCGTTCTTCTACACCCCCTACCTTGCCCTTGAGCACCTTGATCTCGGCATCCAGCTCGTCCACGTTTCTCGACAGGGCGCTAACCTCTTCGAAACGCCTCGAGCCATGTGCCGTCTTGACCATTGCCTGAACCATGAAGCGTTGCTCTTCCAAGACAACCAGCTTCTCCCGTAGCTCCTTTTCCTCTGCCTCAAGCTGGCTAACCACTGTGCTACCCTCACTCGGCGCCTGAGATGCTGTATCGGGGTCGGCAAGTTCTGAGTGCCGGAGTCCAGAGTGCGTGTGTGCGAGGAGGCGGGATGAGGACACGGCCGTGGCAGATGAGGCAGATGACCGTGAGCGGAGTAATTGTGGGAGACTCTTGAGCGGCAGCATGTTCGTATGAAGGAAACTGCTGGCATACGTGTAGATGGCCATTTGAAGACGACGCTGCGTGGCGCTATCCGAGGGAAGGTCACGCAGACGCTTGGCGGCAGTGCCATACTTGCCAAAACTGTCGACAAGACGTTTTCGTATCTTGGCCGCCTCCTGGATCTGCGCATGCGTCGGTGGTGGCTTGTTAAGATCGATTTCTCCCGTGTCGTTCTTCTCTGGCTGCAGGTTCAAAAGCGCGCGGTGGAATCCCGGAAGCAGTTGTTGGATGCCTCGCTCAAACTGCCGCAGAGTCTCGTATGCACGCTGGTCCGGTGGTTTATGCTGAAGAGAAGCCGTAAAGTCGCGGGCCGAGAAAATGGTATGCTTGCATTCTCGACACATTCGAATATCGACGCTGACTTGGCCAGGGTTTGAGGTTGAAGGAGGTTTCTCGGTTGCATGGTTAGTAGTTGTCGATCCATTGACACCACTCGAGATATCAAGTCCAACTTCAGAAGAACAGCCTGTTTGCGGATCACCACACACCACGCGGCCACATACCCGACAATGGTGTCTTCTAAACGTCCAAGAACCGAAATCCTGCTGGCAGAACGGGCACTTGTGGACGTTGGCATCTTCTTCCCAAGTTACGACAGATTGTTCGATGAGTTTCCGTGCGTTCTTCTGGCCTGCTAAAGACGTGACTGGCGAGAGCAAAGAGCCGGTTGATTGTGTGATCTTTTCGGGGGGGTTTGCTAATAACCGCGTGAGCTTTGTCAAGCGTTTTTCGAGTCGTGAAATTTCCAGATTCTGTCGTTCTACTTTCTTCCTCCTCTGTTCAAAAAGCATTTTGGTGTGGTCCGTAAAACAGCCCTCGTGATCGTTGTATCCTTCTCTTGATTTAAAGCATGTCTCGCATACTCTCGCCCAGTATCCTCGGACCGGTTCATGAGTCGCGCTGCGGCTCAGCTTCATTTGGTACATAGTATGTTCCTCACAAAACAGTCGCCCGCACTGTCTGCAGTTGATGCTCCCGTTTATCGGTCCTAAACTTCGGCCGCATGTTGGGTCGGTACATTGATCGTAGCTAGTCGATCGTTGCCAATGTTGGCGTGTGATGAGTTCGTCGGGGTCGATGGGGCCTTCGAGGGGGCTCTTCGCAGCGGCGATGGAGGGCGGTACAGGACTGGATTCGTTTGATTCAAAGACATCGAGACCTCGTAGTTTCTGGTTGATGAGGGAGAGGGGCTGGAATCGCTTCGCCTTGAGGACTTGCTTATCGAACCATGTCTTAACTTCGTCTTGCTCTTCCTCGGGTAGTTCTTGGTGATTGTCGTCGATGTGTCGGTTCAGCTGCAACAGCGTCATCTGCTTCGAGTCAGCAAACACTTTACTCATCGTCTTTTTCGCATCATACCATCTCCTCGTTGCAGATGGGGCAAACGAGTGTGCCATCGGCCGGGCCTTTGCCTTGGACCCCAACGCTGATGCTGTCGCCGATGGCCGGGCCAGCGAGTTCTGATGCTATCCCACTGACAGGCGGCGAGATGGACGATGAACCTATCGACACGGTACTCTCAGAGGCCGCTAGCGGGCTTCCAACTCGCGGCGCATTCGCATTCGGAGGTGTCGGGGGAGCGAGTCCCTTGCCACTACCCAAGATGCGGCCGCCGCCCAGCTTGCGGCCCGACATGATAATGTGCCCTTTGTTGTCGTGATGGAAGGGGAGAGACGGGAGTAAAAGGGGGAAACTCAAAGCAAGAGAGTTTATGGAAGACAAAATGGAAGAACGTTGGACAGCGACCGCAGTTGGTCAAGCTCCGCCTCGAGGAGGAGCGCTGCACCGCCTTTGGCTGTAGGGATGTCCGGGTTTGGAGGTGGAGGTACGTATTCTAGAAGAGGAGACGGGATGATGGCGCTAAATTGAATGCGTCAGATAGAGGAGTACGTTTGCCATCACATCAACTTGCGGTGAAGGTGAGTACTATGATATCATGCACCGCCCTTTCCCCATCAAGTTAAGTCACGTTCGCTTCCTCCCGTTCCCCGTCTCTTGTCTTATCGCAATCCTTGTTGATAACGATAAAACGCCTCGTCACCTTAACCCTTCACGGCAATGAATGGGGAAAAATGACCCCCAGCCAACAGTCAACATCAGCCCAGCCGGCGCTGGCTTCTCCGGCATCTCCTTGTGACTCTGCTACCGAGACTACTTCTTCAACCTCCTCCTTTGCTTCCGCCTCGGTCACCGCTTCCACGTCTTCCGCCCCAGCAGCCATGGCAAAGACGTATCCTCCCGTGCAGCCCGGAGGCAGCTTGATCCTGGCATGGCAGATTAAGCAGAAGAAGGTGCTCGTCGTTGGCGGCGGTGATGTATGTTTGGTTCATCTACTTGGTCTTGTCCCTGAGACATTGGTTGCACATGTTTTCGCACCACAACATTGCACATGTTCCTCTGTTAGCTCACTTTGTTTATTCCATCTCTGACTTGACTTTTCTCCACTAGGTCGCCGCCGGTCGCATCCTCAACTGCCTCAATGCCGATGCAAAAGTTGTCGTCGTCTGCCCCAAGTCCGGTCTCAATGACGAAGTCGCCTACCGAATCCGCGAGGGCCAGGTCACACATGTCAACCGCCTGTTCGAACCCCAAGACCTCGATGGAGCCGAGATGGTGCTGGTAGCTGTCGACGATCCCGCCGCATCGACCGTCATCTGGAAACTGTGCAAGGAACGAAGGATCCCCGCCAACATCGCCGACGTACCACCCGAGTGCGACTTTTACTTTGGCAGCATTCACCGAGATGGGCCGCTACAGATCATGGTTAGCACCAACGGAAAGGGACCGAGGTTGGCGGCCGCCATCAGACAGTTCATCGCCAAGCAGCTCCCCAAGAATGCCGGCAATGCGATCGAGACTATCGGTGAGCTGAGGCTCAGGTTGAGAAAGGTTGCTCCCAGGCCTGAGGATGGACCCAAGCGCATGCTATGGTGGGTATAATTTGCTGTCTTGTGCGATCCATTTACTGACAGGTATGATCAGGATGTCCAAGGTCAGCGACACCTACAAATGGGACGAGATGTGCGGACTCACGGACGAGGATATGGATAACCTGCTACTCTTCTACCCGGCCAACAAGGTCCCCTCGATGGATGTGTTGGTAGCTCTTCGTGGAGGCACCGACATTAAGAAACTCGACGTTTTCGACGGATCCTTCGGCTTCAGCGTGGGAGCATAAAAGCAAGAGACGGGGCGGAGAACGAGCATGATGCGGGCGTCAACAGGTGTGAAAGGAGTCGCTGGAAGTCATTGTACGATGTGATGTACGCGATTAATTGTTTTGGTTACGGGAGCATATCAAGGCTGGGGTGTTGTTGCTGCTACGTTTGACTTGACAAAGATGTTATCACGATGGCATCTTGCATTGGAAAAAGAGCTTCTCAAAAGGATACGGGTTGGATCACTGGGTAGGCAGACAGGATGCCATTGCAAATTGCCAACTATGAACTGTACATTTGAAGCAAAAGATATCCCCGCGGGAGCAGTCGCTGTCTTGTGATGCCGATGTCGCAGGCTTGTGATCCAATGTCTTGGCAACCGAGGCAAGGTCGGTTGAAGAGTAAGCTGGGAGACATCATTCGTCAATACAGTCAAGACATCAATAGTTAAGCGCCTTTCCTTGTTTTGATTATTTTTCATTTATTTTATTTTATTTCTTTTTTTCTATTCATCATAGGCGAGCTATTTTTTGCCCCCATTCAGCAGATCCACTGCTGTTCTATGTCGTCATGCATCATAAGTTCCAGGATATCATGAAACCGTTTAGACCTTGAGGACAACCTGGAAAGTGGCGTCCTTCTCCTTCTCATCACCAAAGACGTCAATGTCCCACTTGGGGTCGTAGGTCGTGGGGATGTTGAAGCGCTGGGGCTTCTCGCCGAGCTTGTCGAGTTCCTTGATGGCCTCGGCGTCGAGCTCAACCTCCTGGAAGTTCTCACGGATGCGAGAGGCAGTGACGGACTTGGGGATGACGAGGTGACCGTCGAGGGTAGACCAGGCGAGGACGACCTGGGCGGGGGTGACGGTCTTGCCCTGAGCGGCGCTGAGGCGCTCGGCGATGGCCTTGACCTCGGGGACGTTGACGAGGAGGGGGAGACCCCAGGAGTTGTTGCCAAAGGCGGAGTAGGCAGTCAGGACGATGCCCTTCTCCTTGAGGTATGCGACGAGCTCGGGGTTGGGGAGGCGAGGGTGGCGCTCGACCTGGTTGACGGCGGGGACGACGCCGGTGTCCTTGATGACGGTCTCGAGCTAGATATGAAATTAGTATGCGCTGGAGCTTTGAGGGGGGAAACGAAGACGTACGTGCTCAATGGAAAAGTTGGAGACACCAATTGATCGGACCTTGCTCTTGGGGAGCTCGGTCACGGCCTTCCAGGTCTGAGAGAGGGAGACACCACGGTCGATGGCGACCTGGCTATCGTCACCCTCCTTGCGGGGGAACAGCTCAGTGCCGTTCTTAAAAGCGACAGGCCAGTGAATGAGGTAAAGCTATCCGCAAGTCAGCAGGGCAGCTCAATGGAGCATTTTGGAGTCAGTAGCTCACGTCAAGGTAGTCAAGACCAAGCTCCTCAAGAGTGTCGTCGAGAGCACCGGCAACCTCCTCGGGGCGGTGCTTGTTGTTCCAGAGCTTGGAGGTGATGAAGATGTCCTCGCGCTTGAGGCCGGGGACCTCGGCGAGGGCCTTCTTGAGACCCTCGCCGACCTCGCGCTGGTTCTGGTAGATCTTGGCCAGGTCGAGGTGGCGGTAGCCGGCTTTGAGGGCCTCGTAGACGCCGGCGCCGACCTCGCCGGGGGCAGACTGCCAGGTGCCGTAGCCGATGACGGGGACCTTGTGGCCAGAGTTGAGGGTGACGGTTCGTCCGAAAGACATTATGACGGTGTTGATGTGGTTGTTGGATGGATAGAAGTTGAAGTGTAAAGGAGGGGGAATGCGTCCACACGAGGACCAGGCTGCCTTATATATCTCTACGTAGCCGCTTCACACACGCGCACGCACAACACCTCACGGGTCGATTACGACAACAGAAGCAAGCAGCAAGCATGCAACATGCAACGTCCCCAATGCACATCCCAAGAACCCTGGTGTCCCACGTCGGCCACACCTTTTCAAGCCTCCATCCCCACCGGGCCGGCCGCTAGAGGAGGGGTACTTGCGATATATGGTAGCTCCGAAGAGACAAGGACCGAGTCAATTGTTCACTTCATTGGGGGGGTTAAAAAACTCTAGCGGCTAACTCGAGAGGAGAAGGTCGAGAAGCTTCTACTGGACACAACACCATGATGATCAGAACTACGTAGACTACGGAGTAATAATACCCGCCCCAAAGAGCAACCAAGCTGTGAAGAAAACAGCCCCACGTTCGAAACAGTGCCCCAGCCCCTGTCGATATCCTCTCTGTATGAGATCATTGCCCCATACAATGAGCTAAAAAAGGCCGGGCCGTCCTAGCGTTGTTGTTGCCCATGATGTCGCCGAGCATGATACAGTACCCATCAGTGGGTATGGTTTGCCCATGGGAAAACACACACCCCCATCTTCGACTTTGGGGGGTAAAAAACTCTGATTGCCACTTGTGGAAATAGTGAATTGTCATTGGCACGGCTCTAGAAACTCCAAGTCTTGGGGAAACGTGCTTGACAAGTGCGTTAGTGTGAGAGAGCTCGGGGAACTCGGTGTACTGTAGCTAAATACATGACGTTGTCCATCATGGAGTTTACTCGGAAGGTTATCAAGAAGGAGATTAAAGTAATGAGGCAATCCAAGTTGTAATTGAGACTAGTATTTACGTGATTCTTGACTCGTGAGCTTTTTCTATGGCATCACTTTGTAGTCAGAATGCGTTTTTACACTATACGGGTTTGTTGGACCGAATGAGTCTCCGCTTCTTGGTTTCGAATTGAGGGGTTGTATCCGTACGGAGTATGGATGTAGCCAACGCGTATGCGCGATAGGTGGCAGCCTGCCTCGTTTTGTGAGTCATTCGGTGAACTTGAGAAGTGGTAGGCAATGTAGATTGTTGTATATTGTTGTTGAGATTACTATTATTTGAGCTCTTGTCAACGTGAGCTGAATCAACTTCCATATTTGGAAACAACCAACTGCGGGCTTGTTTAGAGAGGCGCCCAGGTGCAAAGACGCCGTTGTATGTTTTTGGATATGCCGAAAGAGCTATCACTGTTGCTCAATCAAGGCCATCATACCGTCAGAGCTAGATTCCACAAGCAACTCGACTGTTTGCGCAACATGGGCTTGCTTGTCGATTCTTCATGACAACCTGAAAGTACCTAACCTAGGTATTCATGATGACCTCGCACCGCCAGGGTTACATTCGCAAACAGCTCGATATGGGCCATCCAGGTTCATGCTAATAAACAAACATGGCAATTCAGCACACATGTAGCTTACAAAGACGTGTTCTAACTCAATACCTAACAGATAAATAACAGCTAACCTTCCATATATCCCTCAGATCCAAGAAACACCAACACCTCGTATAACAAAGGATCCCGCATACCCCAGTCCCTCCACCCCATCAAGACTTCTCTCGATACCACTGCCTAAAAAAGCTCCATGTGAAACCCCTCTGCGCCAGCCTCGTCCCCCAGTCCAATGTTTTTCCTCGGGGTGCCCCCTTCCTACCGCCGCCGTGATACTTGGCCAGCTGAATGTTCTTAGCCTTTGGCAGAGCCTCAGTCCTCCAGCGGCAGTTGTCAGTCCTCAAAAACACGCCGTGGCTACCTCCCCGACCCTCATCTTGATATCCGATGGCGTTCATCGCCCGGACGAGCTCCTCCCACGACACAAGTGAATCACTCTTGCCAAAGATGCTCCTAAACGTCTTCCATACACGCTTGTTAAGCTTTCCGAGAGGTTTGTGGTCTGGCGCCAGATCCGGTGTCGGTGGTGAGACGTCAGTGGCTCGGGGTTGTGTTGGGGGTTGTCGAAGCGGCGGTGCAGGGGGGAGAGGAAGTTGTCGACGCCCAGGTCGCCCAGGTCTCTGGACTGGCGGTTGGAGTCCAGGTTGGTCACGGATGCCGAGCCGCTGCACGCCGCCAGCAATGTCCCCGGCGTTGTCGTCGTTGCCAGCTGGTCCCGATTCCGATTCAGAATCATCCTCGGATGCAGCCCCAGCATCTCCAGGCTTGGCCGCTCCCGCGACTCGCCTCCGCCATTTCTCCTTTTGACGCCTCTTGGCTCGATTCCATCGGTCAGTCTCCCACTGCCGTCGAGCTTTCAGGATCTCCATGCGTTTCTGCACGTCGGCCACGGGGTCGTCCTTGTCGTTGGAGCTCTCTCCCTTGTTCTTCCCAGATTTCTTGCCCTCCTTCTTCCTACGCTTTTCGTCATCCAGCAGTTGTTGGTGAATACTCTTCCACTGGTCGGTTGGCCACCGCTGAGGAATGTCCTCTAGCTTGTCCATATCCATGGGGGGTTCCCGCTGGTCAAATGGATACTGGTTCCTGGTGACTCCCATCGTACTTGCCAGTCTGTGTAGTGCTTCCGTCCTTGCTTGATATTTCTGCTTCTCGTTGTCCTTGTAGATGAGCGTGTGCAATAGGCATGAACCGAGGCGCTTCAGGTCGCCCCTTTGTTCACCAAAGTTTATCGTGTTGGTTGAAAACCCCTGCATTTCATCGAGGTACTGGTATAGGCGATGGCGCCTCTTTTCAGGAACTTTCTCGACCTCAAACTCGTCAAAAGCCATAAAGTCAATCGACATTGTGGACAACGAGTTCGAAAACGCCTCCTCGGTTAACTTGACGTCGCCCATCCGGTACCTATGGACAGGAAAGTGAAGTTCCAGGTGCTCCGCGAGCTCCGCGAGCAGGTCGAGGCCGTCGATGGTGTTGGAAACAAGGGGAGAAAAGACCTGGGCTGTATCCTCGTCGTCGCAGTCATCCAGGTATCTTTGGAGGCGCGCCGTAACTTTCCTCATGCCCATATACATGGAAGAAGTCTTGCTTGATATGAAGTTTTCGATCAGTTCGGCAACAATTCTTGTCAGGTTTTCCCGGTCTTCGGCAAGGGTTTTCTTGGTTAGGCAGAGTTCCATCTCATCCGACCTGTAGTGGCCTCTCTTGAACCTTGCGCCTTTGGCTATACCCCTGCGCCCCGGGGTCTTCTTTATGCAGAAAATGTCTCTCATCGGCTGAGAAGCTGCGTGAATAGCTTTGTTGCGAAACTCGAGCACGAAAAACACTCCAAAGTAGCGGATCATGGTCTGTACCCTGAGGTAAAACGTGTAAAGGTAGTGATAATCGCTACCGCAGGTAGACCACTTTGCGTGTGGCCAAGTCTTTGCGCCATCCTTGTGCGTGCTCGGCACCATCGTGTCCCCTCCATGGGGGGGTTGCCTCACCTCAACCCTTGTCACCTCGACCAGAGTCTCCTCAACTGCGTTCCACATGAAGTACTCAAAAACAGCTCTTCGAAGAACGTTCCTCAAGCATTCGCCGTATAGAATATAACGCATGTTCTTATCTTGGTGGTACTTTTCAATGAATTTGTCCCGCTGTTTGTCATAGGAAATGTCCAGATTTACCCAATGATGCTCTTTCTGCTCCAGTAGTTGTTGAAAGAAATACTCGGGTTCATGGAACAATCGTCTAATATGTTCCTCGGCCTGGTCCTTCTTTGACAGGATGTTTTGCTGGTATCTCTCAAAGTTCAGCGTGGCCGGGATCGGTTCGTACTGACGTATCGACGCTATATCCTGCCATCTTTCCCGACTGTTGCCCCTCAGATCTTGGATTGTCCGCAACGCCTCGGCTTCTTCGTTTGGATTCGAAACGGGGACCGAGTGTCCAGGTGTCTTTCCTTGCGCTTCCTTGAGCAAGGCCGCGCAGAGTTTTCCCAGGAATAGGTAAGAGATTGTTTGTGACTGGAGGATGAGGAATGCTTCCATGGTCCCAAATAACTCCCCAGCATTACCCAGCCCCCTCTGTTGTTGAACAGTTTCTTGATCAATTTCAGGACTTTGATCTAGGTCGGGCCAGACTCCGAGTGGGCGATCGCTTTCGGTTTCATCATTATTCGCCGAGGGTACTCTGAGACTAACAGTAACCGCACAATCGAAATAGCCAGACAGAATCATCGAGTGCCTGCCCAAGTAGCTGAGGTCATTGTCAAGCAGGGCAAATTCCGAGGGGACCAACCGAGCACGGTGGTGGATGAAGCTGAGCAGGTTGTATGGATCGAGGAGGTCCCTGAGGTTGATATGGGGTACCAAAAAGTTGGCCCTGATCTTGCGTAGATGATCAGCGACATTCTTGTTAAAGCCGATTTTTTCATTTATCGGCTCTGGCATCTTTAGCTGATCCATCGCATTTGGATGGATGCACATGACCTCGGCCAGGGTTTGGCTCTCGTCTTTGTAGTTGGCCCCATGCCGATACAGGGGGTAGTGCCGATGCACTTGCGTCAAGATGATCTCAGACATATCTTTGAGAAAGTCCAGAGCAAAGATGTCGAGGTCGCTGGAATGGCCATCCGCGATGGTGCCGTGGGGGTCCAAACGGTAATCGCGTCCTATGCGATCAGGTTGCTCCACGAAATTATTGTTGTAATCATCTCTAGCTTCTCTCCAGGCGTTTTCCAAGAATCCTTCGAGCGTATGGGATTCGGGCAGCTTTCCGTTAGCGCTGGCAAGCTTGATGACAGTGTCTTGGATGAGCCGCTCCTTGCCAACCACGAGATGTCTAAAGTCTTTCCAAGCCCCTTCCATCTTCCCAGCTTGCCTTTCGAGGGCCCTCTTCATCTCTTGGTGCGGCCTCCCAGGGTCCATTGGCGGCCACATGGCGTCTCTCCCATGGCCGTACATGGCACACCAAGCACGAGAGCCCGGCTTGTCTACCTGGCCACTTTTGTGTTTTATATCAGCCAATTGGGCTTTATAAGACCTCTCCAGGGCTGGGTGTAGAGGAACCCCATAAGCGAACTTTGGATCAGCCATATTGCGGTGCTTTCCCAGGTGCATGGCATGGTACATCTTGTCGTCCATTGCACGTTTGGCATCATGATCGGTCGAAGGGCCTCTTCGTTCGTCGGCGATCTCGTTCATCATCATCATGACCCTGTCCATGTAGACTCTCCTGCCTTGCGCCATCGTGGCTAAAGAATGAGGTAATGATTGCAATTCGAAAAGGTTTTCGTGGTGAGGGAGAGTGTATCGAAGTATCGATAAATGGGTAATTGGGCGTGCTTGGAGAATTTATACTGCTTCAAACGCCGTGTCCAGTCGGCCAAGTAGAAGCCCCAGGATCGTGATGAAGACTGGATCAATTAAATGGAGGCAGAGGGACAAAGACAACGACAGCTCTATCATGGTCTGGAAATGGCACATGTAGCCACTTGTTGTCAAGACAAAGGCGCTTGAGCATGAACCACACCATTGCTGCTCCCAGCCCCGAGCAAGGAACAGGTTCGAGTCCTTGCCTTGATGGTAATTGGTCGCAAGCTCTATGGACGCCCTCATTTCTTTGTCAGAAAAGGGGAATCACGAAATGGCGTAGCCGCTTGACCATGACGAAGGAGCACGAGGGTATGGGATTCTTTGTTGTTGACCGACAGCCGTTGGGGGCGTCTACCGCAAACCGAGCGTTCCTTGTCTCGAACCAGAGGGTCGAGGCTTCCCGAGCATGGCTGAATAGAAACCCGAGCGCCAAAACGCGACTGGCTTGAGGCAACAATGGAGGAGCGGCCGATGTGCGTTCTTTGCTCTCCTCCTCTAGGGTATGGCATGTGGCATGTTAGCCAGCTGAAATGACGACCATCAGGGGCTGTCCGAGCATAATTGCTGTGGAAGATAGCATGTTATTGATTCGAGAATCGTCTTAGCGATAGAGTTAAAATGTCATTGCATATATTGTAAGAGCAGATGGTTGTGAGATTTATTTTGAGAGTTGGGGAGAGTGAATGCAGGACTTGGAAGTGTTGATGCGGGAGTGAGGAGGGTCATCTCCACACGGACATGGTCCTAGCGTAGAGGTACCTGGGAAGGGCTCCAACTGTAACGAGGAAGATATCTCTGCCTACCTACTCGTCCCAATTATGAGAGCATTATCTAAGATTTTATAAAAAATAACATAAGAATAGATTAAAACCCCTTATCTCAATTTTAGTAAATATAATAAGAGACTAATTATGGATAATTGGTCTAAATCTTAACGGCAGCGGCCATCAAACTGCCGCGCTTGCTTAGTCAGCCAACTTCACAGTCTTGATCGCAGTAGCAGGAATGCGACAGCCATTTCCAACACTCTTGACAATCACATCCATCAACACCAGCTATCGTGGCACATCTGTTCCTCACTTGGGAAGACTAACGCGACTATCTGCCGTATGATCAATCTTGCTTTCGAAATTGCCCCGTTACCCCGCTCTCGCGTTTGTTATGACGCGTTGGATACAAGATCCTGCCGCAGACGCAAGTACTCAAGCTCGCCGCAGCAACTCAGGCTACGCTCATGACAATTTGAACGAAACAACCACCTACGTCTATTCGCGCATTATCCGGTGTTATTAAAAGATGGCACGTCTGAGTGCTCAAGGCTCCGCCGAGGGACAAGTTCAGTCCCCTGCAAGGTCCCTTGAGACCGCTTCCGACAACCACGATACTGAGGAGTTGGCCCCCCCATTCTTCAACACCACATTCTCGACCCATCGCGTCTCTCCTCTTCACGTTGGCCCTGAAGGTCTCACAGCCTCGAGACTTGAGGCCATTGCCAGCCGTTTACGCGACACCCTCGTCGGCGATGTGGTGCGAGGTATCCAAGTCGGACTGGAGTCAACCGACACCCCCATGGGCCAGGTTGGGCCTCTGAAGGTTGTCAAGGTCGAGTGGTTCCGAGCGAGCACGTTCTTGGGCAGAGAAACCTCAGAACCTTATCTTGAAATTCTCCGTGGCGACCAGAGCGATGTCCCAGAGGAACAGAAGCAGGGCCTTTGGATCAACATCAGGCACGAAAATGCTGCATATGCTGCTATCCTCCTCCCCGGTCTCTCCGAGCCGCGACAGTCCCAGATGGATGGACAACAAGGCAACTTTGTTCACCTACCCCTGCTGCTCATGCGAATGCCTCTGCAGCTGAAGACAGTCGTCGCTGACTGGCTCTCTGCCACTTTTGACTGTCGCGTGAGCCGCGTGACATTGGGAACCAAGACAATCCTGGGAGTTTGGGAAAGCTGGGTCGAAAGCACTGGGCTCAATGATAGAGGGGCCGACTTTACCGTGACTCTAGCATTCAACACACCCGTGCCGGCCAGCAATGATTCGACGTCTATGGACCTTGACCGAACCGTGGATGAAACCGTGCCTACCCCGGGACTTCGATCAGTTGATATCACCATCTCAGCTCAAGATCTGCGACGATTCTTGCGAGCTGGACAAAAGATCAGACCCTCAGACAAGAGCCTTTGGAAAGGAGATGCCCGCGAGCGCCGCAGGCTTGCTGGTGGAAACACGGACGACGGATGGGCTTGGAGGACAACCCAAGACGCCAAGACAAATCCCTTTACCGAAGCTTTGGGGAGCTACCTCCATCATCACCTTGCTCTAGATCTCTTTCACCCCAGCGTGCAGGTTACCCAGATCTCGTGCACCGGGTTTGTGCTTGGTCAAGGTCGCCTGAAAATCCTGATGCTTGGCGACATGAGCCAGAGCCTCTCTAATGCGGCCTGGGCGTTTGTGGCACAGCTGGGAGAAAGAGTCAAGGGCGAGCACCTCCCGCAGGTATTTTCGACCAAATTTGGAGGTTGACGGCAACAACCTGTTTAGCTACGAACGACACCATGTGCTCTGAATCACCTTCGGTTCCTGGGGTGTTGTCTTGGCAATTGGCAATACATAGCGCCTAAGCTTTTTATGGCGACAAGGATCATATGGTCAGAGTGGCTCTGTGGTACTGGCTCTGGCAGGTTTCCAGACGTTTGGGAAGAAGGCCCAAGATCAAATGGTGTGATCACCTTTGAAAGCAGACGTGCGTTGGCTGCAAGGGGATACGATCAAATCTGACCTGCATCCGCGAGATATGCTTATGTCGATACGTCATCCATAGTCTGAGCCTCAGGACGAAACCACCCATTGGAGAGGCAGCGTTGGAACTCGTGGAGGTGGAATGTGCGACTGTTATTCAGTGTTCTCTGGCTGCACTACGAAGTAGGATTGAGTGGGTTCCAGGGCAGACAGTCTGGTCGGCGATTCCACCCGCCAGTCTGCTTGAGCAGATTTGCTGAAAATTCACAGCCCCCGGGGAGGATGAGGACCCTGGCTTGAACAACAGCACCCTGCAGCCTTATTTGGGATTTCTCCTTCAGCCCTCCAGAGATGAGCTTGTTCAGAACACAAGCGAAGTCCAGGTTGTTGTGCTTGGCATGCAGTCGATAATAACAAGGTGGACCGTGGCAGCGAAGGATCCGCCACTGCCTGCCCTATCCTCAACGGGCAGGGGCGTTGCGAAGCCCGCTCCTTAATTAAGATACGTTAAGGCCTTCTCGGACTAGTAGGCTCGGACTGGATGTGACAGGGGGCTTGCCATAAGGCTGTGTTGTGAGGACAACTTCAGGCTATGCTGAGATACTCTCCACACTGCCTCACTTTGACTCGGCATGCAGACGCACGAGTCGACAAGCTTAACCAAGGCAGAAGACACCTCGATCCAGAACCACGGCTTGCGCAGCTTGCTGCTCGATGGCGTTTTCCTTGACAAATCTCGGGCTCCTGTGGCAGCATGGACAGGCTGGGCTGTTTTCCGTGGTACGGTACCCAAGACATGTCCACACTCTGCAGCTGCGGTAATGAAGCGACAGGCTTGAACCATGTCGATGTCAGCAATTTTGCGGGGACTTCTTTGAGCTTTGGGAGTTGAGTGGCCCAGTCGGAGACCAACAACAAACCAACCGCACAATCCTTGTCCATCCTGTCAGCCGCGAAATAAAGCTTATGCCAAGAGGCTGGAATGCGGCACAGACCTTCTCGCCTTGGAAAGGATCATCTGCATCCTGGACATCATTCAGAACATTTGCTCGCTTCTTAAGGTCGAGAATCCAAGGCGCAGCCGAGTTTGGCCTGCACAACCAGGTCAATGGACGGCAGCGAGAAGGGTTGCAGGAGGCGACTCTCAGAGCCTGGCCAAGAGGGAATTCACGGGAGCCGGAGACTTGGTCCCAGTTCTCTGTGGAGCGCGACTTGACACGAGAGCTGCAGAAGCAGAAAGGAGATGTTGGTGGCTGCCAGTGGCTTTGTCTTGAACTGTGGTTCCGACTAGGGACGGCAACCATGTTACTCCCCGGAGTGGTGTCCGCCTCTTCAGCCGCGACAATCGCCCTAGCTGAGAACTCAGAGTCAACGTCCAAAGCCTTGTCGCCGTTTAGCTCACGCCAACAAGATGAAGAAGAGGCTTGGACACGGAGATGTTTCCAAGCCCGGACAAGGTCAATGCCCTCTTGCATGTGAGCTGAAGTAGCACGGAGGGCAAGCGGTGGACGCACTACTTCGTTATGACTGAGAGCCTGGTGCTGCGGACTGGACAATGGGGGCCAAATGGCTTCTTGCAGCTATGGGTTGAGACAACGGCTCCAGCGCAACCCGAAGGCTTTGATAGCCCACCCCCTGGTCCAATTGAACCCATGTCGCCCAGACTTCGGGGATCCACGCTGTGCCATCCATTGGAGATGTCCCGCCTGCGGGCTGACCTTGGGGGCAGGGTTGTGGAGGTTACGCTACTTCGCCAGGGTTCCCGACAAATTTGGATGAAAGAGCCTCGAGCCCGCTTACTCTGGGGCTGTTTTACGGTCGTTCCGCTTCTCTTTGTTCCCCGATCATCCCTCCTTCTTCCTCCTCTTCTTTTTCTCTCCGTGCTGCCGCATTTCTCAACTTGAGCCTTGCCCAAAAGGACTCGCTCGTCACCACCAGTCCACCAACATCGCAGTCAGGAACAAAGACTCAACCTCACCGTTCAACATGTCTTCCCCTCGTGAGCACTGGGGTCTCTCCTGCCCCAACGGCGGCAAGTTTTATATCTGCGAAGAAGACGACACTCAATTCGTGGGCTGCTGTGTCAGCGACCCTTGCGGTACCAACAAGGGCAAGTGTCCAGATGGTGATTTGCGCGCCACCACCTTCGACAAAGACCTCTACGCCGAGCTTCCTACCCAGGACTGCGACAGCTCTCAGGGAACGGACAACTGGTACACATGCGCCTTCCTCGACCCTCCTTTCCTCGGATGCTGCAGTCAGAATGCCTGCGGATCAGGATGCCCGAGGAACAGGTTGGTGGGAGCCAAGCTGTCGGAGGTTGAGAACAACAGACTCGACTTCCTCGAGCCTAGGGCCAACACCACAGAGACTACTGCCAGCACCGGCACTGCGACGAGCACCAGCAGCTCTACATCTGAGCCCACCAACGAAAGCGACGATAGCGGCCTGAGCACCGGAGCCACGGCTGGAATCGCAGTTGGAGCTGCGGTGGGAGGACTGTTGGTTCTTGCACTCTTGGCTTGGATCTTCTGGTGGAAGCCCAGACAGAAGAAGAAGAACGGACAGGAGTTCCAGAGTGTGCCTGTGAACCCCCCGATGGCAGGACAGCCTGGTACTCCCGGTACCTTCAACACCCAGCCTACATTCCCCGTCCAGTCTCCCATGAGCACCTACCAACGTAAGTGGAAGAAATTGAAACTTGCAGACCTTTTTACTGACAAATTCCAGCCTCATTCTCTGCCGCCTCTCCCAATCCCGCTCCTCACTATCCCAGCGGTGTTTCTTCGATGGATCAGTTCAAGTACTCTCCTCAAGCAGCCCAATTCGAGCAACACCAACCCTACGGCCACTATCCCGACGGCACTGTTCCGGCCACAAGCCCTGGGCTGCCGGCTTATGGTCAGCAGTACCCCCCTCAAATGGTTCCCGTGATGGAGATGGACGCCACGCCGACGGTGGCGCATGAGATGGGTACCGGTCAAGAGCATCAGGTCACATCCCACAGCCCAGCCCCAGATAACAAGCACGGTGAGGGACTGGGAATCTCGAAATGAAGCAGATGAGAGATGAAGCGAGCATGAGTGTCTTAATTTCTACGAAGGAAGGGTAATCAGATGGTTGGTAAAAATGTTTTGCATGGCGTTGGAAAGAGGAAACAGCATCAGGGTGCTCCCAGAGGACGAGGACTCGAATGGTTTGTGATTCTCTGGGCATTCATTTCATTTCTTGGGCGCTTGACCAAGTGCTTCTGTATTGAGCCAGTCCTGGATGGGTTGCCCAGGACGAGACGGCTCTAATGCGCTCCATTTGAGCTTGAAGATAGAGCATACCTATACATTGTATTCTTATGATCTTTGGGTGTTTTGGTTGTGAACAAGAGGCGTTTGGTGGCGAGCTGAGGCCGTCGACAAGCCAGCAGAGCTCACAAGTCATTCTTTGCCACGAAGCATGTGCGAGCCAAAGAGGGACACGACATGCATATCTCTCCGAAGTGCAACGCCCTAGTGAACTTGGTTGGTCTTCTACACGAGTCTGGGCCCGCCAGGGCGATGCACAAGCTGACGTACACTTGGGGTTCTGGGCGGTGCGTAAATTAGCGGGAGGATGGGCTTCTAATAAGGTGGCTGTTCATAGCCCCCAAATGTTTCAAGAGTTGGGGTCGTATTCTTGGCCACACAGAGGGACTCGTCTTTGGGACTTTGGTACTGGCACAAGTGGTCGTGACGCAGGCCAAGAGTGAGGCATAATAAAAATAATAATGGTAAATAATAACACGAAGGGAAGTAAAATGTTCATGATGATTCTTCTATTACTTGGGTGAATTTTTGCATAAAACTACCTACGAGAGAGAGGTTGGATACGTTGCCGTCAGGAACTTGCTACTGCGCGTGTGACACTCTCCAACAAGGAAGACGTGTTTGATCGCCATGACATAACTCCCCGCGATTCATTGTTTTGTTGGAAGAACCGACGTCATGATGCCGTGGATGACACGAAACTTGGTTGTGCATCTGTTGTAAAAGGACTGCTTCACATCGTTCTCGGACATTTGAATGCAACTAAAACCATCAATAAAAAAAAACCAACCAAGAAACCATCGAAATGAATTCAGCTGGAGACAGATCCGTCATCTCAAACGACATGCAGGAGCTTCGCCAGGGCGGCGAAGAAATCTCCCACAAGATCCAAGGACACAAGGCGAACTTGTCCAACCCCAGTAAGAAAGGCCTCCTCTTTTTTACTCTGTTTGCGTCTGACATGGGACTATTTATAGACACGAGCCAGGCCAGCAAGGAGAATAGCAAGCGTGAGATTGAGCAGCTAGGCGGGGATGATAATTTGTATGGAAAGGAGGATAATCCTAGGAGTAAGAGTGCGGCTGAGCAGTTGGAGGGGAGTCGAGCGAGTACCTAGGGATGGCAGGGAATATGACTGTGCTGTTGATGGACGATGAACGATAAAATGGGCTTTGTGAGATGCTGCAATGGTTTCATCGTAATGAACAAAACTCCTACTTGACGCAGGTACAACCACAGATAGGTTCGCAGCATGATCCACAACAGAGAAGCTATCGTGGCCAAACTGTCTCACCTTATCCACTCTCTCGGTGAAGGTATTCCCGGCTCCGGGAGCTCGGGGCCGACAACGGAGATGCATCGGCGCCGAGATAAGCGGAACCAGAGTAATAATGATAGAAGCTTATTCAAAGGTTTGTCATGTTTCAATTTTTTCTTCTGATTTCATTCAGCTGCATCTAGCCGCTTTCACTAGCCGGGTTGTCGTGTGCGTTGCACTGGATGAAACGGGTTGAGAGGGAGTGGAGTTTTCTGAACAAATAGACGCGAGATGATCTACTTGGGGGGCATGGAAACTCGGCAATAACGGATGATCGGCACATGATGGGGGAAGGACTAGGGCTCTAGGGGTCGAGGCATGTTGGGGTTTGTGATGTGAATGTTTGCCGTTGATCCGATCGAGTTTTTATCTTGTAGGGACCTAGAGATATTTGACAGCGGAAGAGGCGGTGCCGGTCTTTAACTATGTAGATTTGTCATGATGGAATACAAAGAATAAGAGGCAATATTCGTGATGGGATACTTCTTGGCAATGGATATGGATCTCTTTAATTCAGGTTCCACCTGATCAACATTTTGTCGGACACGAGCTGGCCAATGGACAAGACAGACGAGGTCACTCGGTCATTTATTGGCATGAGATTTGAATCGGCATCGGGACGTGGAAAGCACCGTTCAAGTCTGTAACTCTTTATCCCCGTGTCATAGCCGGGCGCCAAGTTGCCGGATCCCGAGATTTTGATCCGGGGGCGTTGGAGGAGGGCTCAAGGGAAGTGAAATGTTATATGAGGACGTATTTTTCCGTTGCTTTTCTTGATCAGATAAATTGTGTTTTTGTCAATTCTACAGCACGTCATTATCTGAAATCAAGGCTGCGTAGGTTATAACCCATCGACTGACCGCCGAAAAGACGCCAAGCCTCGTGGAGCAGGGATCATTGGCAGCTGGCTCGAACCACTCACCACCATTAAAGCCAGCATCAGGGAAGGGGGCAACTTTGCAAACGAACTGAGTGGACTCTCTTTCGGGTTCCTGTCGCCTCTATTTTTCCGTCTCGTGGAGATCCATTCCATCTTCTCTCCCCAAACCATGCTGCACCGATGACATCCATCCCGTCTCTCAGCCGCTCGCTGCTTTTTTTGATCCCAAAGTTCCGGACTGTTTATTCCCGTCGCAAATCTTTAAACCCCCGTTCCGTTGAAATCTGAGTGGCTTCAATTCCATTTCACCCCCTCGATTAGCCTACTCTCACCAAACAACAACAAACTTGAATCGAAACACTCACGTTCTCATCATCGCGCACAACGCGCGCAAACCTCCATCCATGAAGGTCATCGTGACGGGTGCCACCGGCTTGGTGGGCAGGGAGATTGTTCAGCAGTGTCTCGCCGACCCTCGCATCAACAAGGTCGTCATCCTCACTCGGAGGGCCGTGTCCATGGACATTGAGAGCCACCCCAAGGCCGACGTTGTCATGCTTCAGGACTTTTCGCGTTACTCGGATGATCTTTTGAGCCGCCTCGAGGGCTCTTCTGCCTGTCTATGGTGAGAGGACGCCCCCTCCAATCGATCCATCTTGGCGAGAGACGCCGTTTTCTTGGCGCTCCCTCACTTTGATGCATTCGTTCATTACGAATCATCATATCACACTAACACATAAAATAGGGCCATTGGAGGTCGTCCAGATCAGCTCAACAACGACAAGGCATCTCTTCACCACGTCAACGTCGAGCTACCTCTCGCCACCGCCAAGGCCATGAGTGAGCGCATCGCCGCCAAGCTACCCCCAGGGCAAAAGTTCAGCTTTGTATTCTGCAGCAACAAGAGCGTCGATCGGCACTCTTCAAAGCCGCTGCTCTTCCTAGGAGACCCGCGGAAACCACGGACTGAGGCGGAAAAGGCCCTCTGCGAGGTGGCCGACTCTCACCCGGATGTGTTTAACACCTGGATCCTGCGGCCGGCTGCCATCACCACGGGCGATGCTGCTCCGAAGAAGCGGAGGCTTGTTGGAAGCCGGTCCAGTAATGGTGTTGAAGTGCCACAGATGGCAAAGGCCTATGTCAAGGTGGCCTGCGAGGGCTGGAAGGACCGCATCGTCGATAATGATGCCCTGCTCAAGATGTAAAAAGAAAGGTTAGCTTCTTCCCTGTACCCATGTAACTTAGTCTACTACTGTACCGTCCCTGTTTTTGTACAATGAGCGTTGGAGTCTATTGTTTGGGGGGCTTCTTTTAATGTGGACTCGTTCGAGGATGGATCCTTGTACAGATCCAAGAGAGACGAGTTTTCTTTTGTGGGAAGAGTCGAGGGTTCTTGTATTATCACGGCCGCTTTGATGATTACCCAAGTTTTTTTATTACAAGAGCTTCTTTATTGCCTTTCATGTTATAACACCATGCTTGAAGATGGCATCCAATGCAAACAGACTGACGACTCCTAGTTGTGTCGTAATATGCCCAGGGTATCTCACAATGTCAAACAAGTACCAAATACGCCTGCAACCGAAACTCCAGAACCCGCTCATCAGAAAAATACGAAGATTGGCCAGAAAGACGCCGAACATGCCAACAACCCTCAAACTCCGCAACCTAAACTGACGAAACCAGCACTTGGGACCACACCGACGACTGCCCGTATACTCTCACCGCAGGCATCAAGAGTGCCATGTGCGGTGTCAAAGTGCTCGGGGCAGAGGAAGATCCGGTGCTTGAACGTTCGTCGTCTGCGAATTCAGCGTCCGAATCGGTCTCCGATAGTGGGGCCGGCGGACGGGGACCGTCTTGTTCGTCCGGGGCGGTGTCGAGTTTCCGGAATAGACACATGAGTGGCCAGCAAAACCGCGAGACGCATCCCACTTCCCACGTATCCTCCTCTTCGAGGATTTGCTCGTCTCCTTGGTGGACGACAATTGGTACCATGACCGGCTGCAGGTACACAGCCCGTTCTTGAGAGGTGTGCAATTCCTCATCCGAGCTGTCTGTTCCCATACTCAGCCCCCGGACCGAGTCGTCGGCTTCCTCGTTCGCGCTGACCCACTCTTCATCCTCCTCTGGGATGACCGACAAGCGTCCATCGGATGAGTCTTGGTCAACATTCGTGGCACTTCGAGGAACGATGAAGTTGATGTGGAAGTGGTGACTAGGGGCATGGGGGCAAAGAATGTAGTTGGATTTGCCCGGGTTGTTGGCGTGGGTGTGATCGGGGTGCGAGGACGATGGTTCACCCAAGAGAGGTGTAGTCTCGGTGACTCGCATCGTGGTGTTTGAGGTGGTGCTCACTCTTGATTGAGCAAGGAGTCTTCGGGAAAGCATCTTTGGAAAGAGATGTGGTCAGGTTTGGTCAAGAATGGCCGGCGAGAGGGAGACAGGCCGGCGTTGATACTTTATATCCACGCTTTTCAAGCAACTGTGTCAATTTGTCAAGGTTTTTACTTGCAAGTATAACTTCAGTCTCTACTTGTCTTGAGGATAAAGCAAAAAGCTTCATACCGATATTCCGAGTTTCAGCTTAGACTTTTACTTCCTCCGATACTTTTGAGGTTCTTGTGTATTAATCCTATCCTATATACCATCTTCTTTATCTGTATTATATGCCGAGATTACTGTCAACATCAAGTTATGAAAACTCGACCACTATCCTCTATATGTTCCAGTGTCTATCTCTTGGTGTTTAGGAGAAGTACCTTGTTGATACATAATTCAATATTACACCGTTTGGTGTTTACGCGAGTTCCCAAATTAGGTTAGCTTTTAGCAAAATGCACACGCCCCTATGCATGAGAGAAAAGGTACTTTGAGATCTCCCGACTCCGACTGAGGAGCACAATCAACGACTTGGGAATCAAAGTCGCACCTATGAGGAACCACAGGACACCACAGCCGTTAATCAGGCAATCGGCATGCCGGAGAAACCCAATCTCTGACGGTGAGGGCGAGCAGATGCATGCAGCCCGATCCCCAGAGTCCTTAAGGAGCCATGGTAGTCCCGGCCGAGTTGTGGCGGTATTCCCAGAGAATCTCGGCGTTGTCTTGTTGCGAGAGGCGGAGGGCAAATGGGTTGTCGAAGTGGCATAGCATCGTCGGCGAGACAGATTGAGACGAAAAAAGCAAGGCAGTTTGAGTGTTGAGTTCAAGGTCTTTGAACCATGTGGCCAGGTCGTGACTTTCATCAAGGTTCAGTGCGGAACAGGAATGTCTTGAAGTTGTCCCCAATGCTGACCCTCAGTGTTTCAGGCTGCTTATCCTCTGTGAGTTTTTGCAGGTACACCTAGTGTAGCGTAGTGGCACTGGTTCCCACGTAGTGAGAGGACTTCAACAACAGGTTGCGTCTGTGTAGGTTTGAATCCGACGGTTCTTGCGTGTTTTCGGAGCAACGATATGGCAAACTTCCAATATATCCCCACTCTTAGTATTCACGGACGCCCCGTTCCTTATACTAAGAGCCATTTCTCAGGTACCAATGCAGATGGCGACGCCTTCAGACGCAAGGCTGAGTACAATATGCAAGATCTATGCCACCTACTGCGCCCTCGGCCATAAAGAAGAGATTGAGTAAAAGTCAAAACTTGAACAAGGTTCACGACACAGTTTCCGTGACTCGAACAAAAAGGATTCCCAATCCTGTGCTGAGTTTGTCATTACCCCCTCAACAGCTCATTCGGATCAATCGCCTTTTCCAAAACGTGGGATCAAGAACATTCTTACCTTTAGGAGGTTCAAGCTAACAGTAATATTAGATCAACTCAAAGACTTGCCCAAACCCCTTTGACCTACGGCGCCGACAAAAGTACTCGACAAGTACAGCGCAACCCCACGGAAAACTCCAAGATGAACTGGGCCTACCGAAGACTGGATCGCGAGTACAACGAACTACTCCAGGCTTATCACAAACTGTTGCACTCCAACAGCGTGATACGCAAATTTGCGTATGGCTCCGTCTTCCTGGCCATGTGCGGCGGAGGTGTCCTCGGTCTCTGCATATACTGCTGGTTAAGCGGACGACGTAAGCCGGGAAAGAACGGTCAGTCCACGAGCGGGGGCCCGGGTGATGGGCCTGGGAGTGTTGAGCTACAGCCCTTGACTTCGCCTGGGAGAGCGGTGGTTAGGGGAGAGGAGGAAAGGGGGCTGCTACCGAGATATCGCTCCCGAGATGCTGCACCGAGATACTCTGTTACCGATCCGAATACGCAGAGACCAGAGACTCCGTGGTCCATGGTTTGATGATGAGAGAGGGACGCAATGGGATGTCAACTACGACCGTGCGCGAGCACTCGCGATCAAGGCCTCGACCCCCGATCTTGAGGGATGACGGATACACATGGACTCATGATGTAATGTTGGGGCAATGGGAAGATCAATTTTAGTGGAAGGGGGGAAATGTACCTGGATACTTAGATGAGGCAAGCTGAAATGACAAGTCCTGGATAGAAATCGGGTTGTAAAAGCGACCATTCTCTCTAAACTTGAGAGATTTATATTGTTTTTCTGTGCATCCTTTCACGGGGCTAGGTTGTGTCTCTATTCGCACTCAACTCTCAACCCATGCGTGCAAACACGGCATATGGAAGTCAATTTATCCAATAACCACACGTCTATTAATGCTAACTTGTTCCAAGATGAATTCTAAATGAAGGTATCAACAACTGAGAAACACGTTTGGGTGGTACGCTTCAATCGCTGCCTTCCAGTATCTTGGTGGGGTTCGCAAAGCTCAGCTCTTCCATCGTCTCGGCCCAAGCCGCCTCTTGAAGAGCCTTGCCAGCTTCCTCGTACATCATAGGAACAAGTCTATCACCAAGTTAGCTCACCAATCAAGTATCAACGATGGAAGAAATATACTTACGGCTTCACTCTTCCTTCGCCCACAAACCCTCCATGGCTCTCCACACCCTTGACAGTGACGGCATCCACATACGACCTAGCACCAGTAGCAGTCGGCCTCGCAATAATATGTGAAACGATCTTGAACATGATCCCAGCAAGCTTGGAGCGACCGTCAGCACCAAACTGGGTTCCTCTGCATGCTCCGGGGTTGGGAAAGTTGATGATGACCTCCTCAGCGGGCACGAGGCGAGCTATTTTGTCGACAAACATGAGGAGGAAGAGCTTGGATAGTTTGTAAGCCGTCATGCTCTCGAACTTGGAGGCGTCGTCGAGGACGCTGAAGATGGTCTTTTCGGTTTCGTCCCACTTTGCCCAGTATGACATGTCTGAACCAACAAGAGCTAGACGTCCGGGAGAAGAAGTGCTGCGCTTCTCTTTGAGGATTGGGATGAGAAGTAAGGCGAGGAGGGCAGTAGAGAGGTAGTTGATTTGAAAGGTCATCTCATGCTTCGTCTCTTCGGATCTCTCAAATTTAGGACGACTCAGGCCGGCGTTCAAAATGGCAATGTCGAGTCGCGGCAGTGACTCGCATCTTTTGGCAAAGGCTTGAATAGACTTGTATGAAGACATGTCGACGAGGGACACTTCAATCTTGGCACGAGGGAACTCATCCTGGAGTTTCTTTGCCGCAGCATCGCCCCTGGCTTGGGATCGGACGGCGACGATTAGGTGCGAGAGGTTGAGGGCCAGGAGTTGTCTTGCGCACTCAAAGCCAAGACCAACGTTTGAACCGGTGATGAGGGCAGTTTGGCCAGTGAGGTCGACGGTTGACGGGATTTTAGGAACGTTTTGGATGAATTGTCGGGAGAGAAAGGCAAGGGGACTGGCTTCCCAAGCAGCCTGGTCTTTGAGATTGGCGGACATGATGTAGTAGATGGTTTACACGGATGAATGGATTGATGCTGAATTGATGGCCTCTATCCTTTCCTTCCAGCTTCTCTCTTATACTTCGAGTGTACGGTCGACATCCGGCCGAACCTATTACTCTTGAAACCTATTTCTAAGCTTCACAATCAATGAATTCGTCATTGATTGATCCTACGGACAAGTTGAAGGCGATTACATGGAGGTTTTGATACAGAGTGGAGACTTTGAGGCTCGCTAACTCGAGCGCGCGGAGGCCGAAGCGGACGAAGATGAAGCTACCCTGTAAATGAGCATCGTTATTGGACAGACAGACTTTCGTCTCATTTTGCTCGCATTCTTGAGTCCGAGGGTTTGTGTATTTATTCATTAATGGTATAAATGTGTATACGAACGATTACTAAGGCGTGAATGGTCCAGTTCTTGGGGATGGTGACTTTTGCTGCACAGCAAACCAATTTGGTAAGTCCACTTCAGAGCTGAATGTCGACCTGATCCTTTTAGTGACACATGCAGAAAACACAGCCTTTAAACCGCTCAAGGTGCTGACCGGGGTAAAAAGGTCAGCGCATATGCATGAGCAAGGTCGCGGCCGATCCCAGAAACGCAGAGGCCACATTAAGATGGTTCTTTTGCGTTTTGACTGGATTTAAATACGACGGGTCAAAACATTTCTCGGATCATGTTTGTTTATGCTTCCAGCTGCGTTCCCTGACGAATCAGACTAGGCTTACACTACATTCCTTTGTGGTACCAGGTCATCCCATCTCGTGAAACAAAGTCCAGCTGAGGAAGCTCGTTTCATGGTGAGATTTCAGGGTTACCATCCATCTACCACATTATTCCTACGTTGCAAACAAAAACAGGAGATTGATGTATTCTCGTCCCATCAGATCGCCCAAGTCTAGAAGGTAGTAGATCAAAAACAGGCTAAACATTGCGCCCTCCGCTGACGGGCTTCTAGATCCCGATGGATCCCATCCTTGGCGTAAGCCCGGCTGAGCCATCTCTGTTAAACATTGGACAGATTTCACCGCCTGGTGCATAAACGTGATGCCCTGAATGGATCGTCGACAAGGGGAGAGTGGATGCGACCGTAAGGCTGAGCTGAAACATACAGGATGAAATGGGCGGCTTTTAATAAAGCTGCGCCCCGATGATCCGTTCCTCGTGTTAAATAGACCAGAGGGCCTCGTTTGTTCATCTCTCGTTCTTCAATCATTCAGCTTCATTCTGTGGTTGCTTTTAAACATGCCTTCTCTTCGAAACACGCTGCTGGCGTCCCTCCTCGCCGCGTCCGTCTCTGCACGCGACGTTCCGGCCAATGTCAAGAGCTTCAAGGACAGCATCATCAAGCAGGGCTCTTGCAAGAGTACTCTAGCTACTGGTTTCTACAGCAGCGATGGCGACTCTGGCAGTATGTAGCTCTCTGAGACACCAACACACAGACTGACCACTTTAGCCTACTCGTACTGCGGCGACCACGTCAAGGACTACAACGTCATCTACCTCCAGGGCAAGAATGGCAAGCTCGTCAACATGGACATTGACTGCGACGGCATCCAGGGCAGTCCCGCCGATGACGGCCGCTGTGGTTCTTCTGGTGATACCCAGTCCATCACCTCGTTCCAGTGGGTTCTCGAGTCGTACGGCACGTCGCAGAAGGATCTCGATGCCAACATCCACCCGTACATTGTCTTTGGTAACGAGGGTACCAAGTCTGGCTGGAAGACTTTTGACCCTGAGAAGCATGGTATTAAGCCTCTTAGTGTCATGGCTGTCGTGTGTGGCAACAAAATGGTGAGTTTCTTTTGTCGCAGAGATGAGATGTCAGCTTACAGTGTCTAGTTCTACGGCATCTGGGGTGATGAAAACGGCGACGACGGAGACTACCCCATGGTCGGAGAAGCGTCCATCTCGCTCGCCACAGCCTGCTTCGGCAAGTCAATGAACGGAAACTTTGGTCACGGCGAGGACGACGTCCTGTACATTGCCTTCCCCGGCAGCGACGCCGTCCCTGGAGCAAAGGGTGCTAAGTGGACGGCCAAGAACTTTGACGAGTTCCAGTCCAGCATCACCACCCTGGGTGACAAGCTGATCAAGCGTATTGGAAGCTCTAGCGGTGGTGGTACTACTCCTCCTCCTACCTGCTCCTGGCCCGGTCACTGCCAAGGTATGTTGCACCTGTAACTCGAAAGAATGAATGTATGCTGATGTGGGAATAGGTGCTACTTGCAAGACTGGCGATGACTGCTCCGACGACCTCATCTGCACCAACGGCAAGTGCTCGCCTCCATGAAGGTCATCTGGAGCAACCAAAACCAAGACTGGATGTAAAGTGCACCACTGAGTCGGGCTTCATAGCTTGACGAGTCAAGAAAGGGCACGTTACTGACGGTGTTTTTGTAGTACGGTTGTTCCAGAGAGGCAGCGCAGCTCTACACATTGCGCGTATTCTCATGTAGAACAAAACATCTTTTTGTACATATTTCTCATATCCTTTGTATATAGCTTCATGATATGGGAAATCACATATAAACTCGGCGAAATTGTACCTTTTTTCTTTTCGTCATATCCAGTAGGCCCCATGCTTATACCGTACCCTTTTTTATTTTTATTCTCAAGATCAAGTTGCAACTCTATGCACCAACCATGATGATTCTTCCATCCGTAACTGGAGCGATGCATCGTGTCCAATCGACTGTAATGTCGAGAGGATCGCAGACGCTCGCCTTGACACCGGCCTTGAGAACCCACTTTGCCCAGTACTTGCGCATAATGAGAATCTCAAAGTCGAGTCTGTAGGCTGCAGGATCCTCGTGCTCCTCCTCCTCAGGCTCCTCCTCCTTCTCTTCCTTGTCCTCCTCCTCTACCTCTTCTTCACCATCATTCTCATTATGAGGTCTAACATTGATGCTGAACCGTCTCTTCAGGAATCGACCCCAAGGGTCCTTGGCAGCGGGCTTCTCGGTCTTTTCCTCCTCGGGAAGCTTCTCGGTCTTTTCCTCCTCGGGAAGCTTCTCGGCCAGCGAGGTGAGGTTGGGAAAGTCGACGTTAGTAAAGGAAGTCTTTACGGGGGACATGGGGGTCTCGCAGCGCTCGGCCACGTTGACCCAGTGCTGGGCCAGGTTCTTCCACTTGCCCACAGTCAGAAGACCCATGAAGTATTGTCGGAGCATGGCTGAGATGAGGATGCCGTTTTCCTCCTCGATGATCTCTTCACACTCGCCGCCCTCGGACTTGACTAGCAAACTGGTGAATCCATCTATCACACTGTCAGTATGTTGCAGCTACTCAAGAGGAGCCAAATCTTACCCTTTCCACGTCCCATGTAGCCTCTAGTGCATAGAACATAGAGTCTCTCAGGTTCATACGGCGCCCCGCAGATATCCGCCCAGAGCACCCTGTTACCCCTCGGCCGCGAGGGATCAAACTCGAAGCGAATGTTGGACACCTGAGGGAACCTGCCTTCAAGCGCTGGGTACATGGACACGCTGTTCTCGAGCGCGTCAAAGATGGCTTGCCCCGTGACGCGGAGCAGCACGACAGGATCCTCGAACGGGAAGCACGTCGTGATATCCTTGATACGGATCGCTCCCGGGGGGTAGATCTGGTCGCCGCGGATGGTGCCCGAGGCCATGATTGTGCAGTCGGCGTTATGATGCTGTCTCATGACGTCGCAGACAAAGTTGCCCATGTTGGATTCTCTGGTACGAACGGTGCTGAATCGTGCGTCGAGGGGAGTAGCCGTCCATCCAACTGGCTTGGCCAGAGACTTGTTTAGCTTGGATACAAGCTCGTCAACCAGCTCCAGAGTAGGTGGATCCTCCTCGATAGTAGACGTGATGTCCCGTCGCCAAATGTCAAAGTCCCATCTCGTAGGGTCATCAGGCTTTCTCCTCGCCTCAATGTAGCTCAGGTTCTTAAAGTCAGTACCAGAACGCAGCACATGGGTTCCGTTGACAAAGTTGTGAGCGTAGTAGTGATCGTGACCTCCGAGGATAATGTCAATGAGTCCCTCAGTCTGCTGAGCCAACTTATCATCGTTGGGCTCTCGCTGATGGCTCAGGCAGATGATGATCTCTGCACCCTGCTCCCTCAGCTGCGGCACGAGCTCCTTAGCCACAGCCGTGGCGGATCGGTATTCAAGGTTAGGCGGAAGACTGTTGATGGTCTCAAGCCACTCACGCTCTCCCAATCCGATAAGGCCAACCTTGATGCCGTTGGAAGTGGTGAGCATGTGTGTCTTCTTTGCGTTTCCAAGAGGAATCTCCTCTCCCAGGTCAGGGTCGATGACATTGGCGAGGAGCCAGGGAAAGTTGCACTGGCTCGAGAGGTTCTCATACTGCTTGACTCCAAAGTCAAAGTCGTGGTTCTATAGAGGGTGGTCAGCTGTCGGGTCGGTCAAGGGTGGTATGACTTACCCACCCCTACACAAGCACAGTCCGTTCCAATCATGTTAAGCACCGGAACCATGTGTTGACCTGAGCCTAGGTTAGCAAGCCATCCATGCTTGGCGAGGGGATATATAAGTCTTGGCTTCCTCCCAAGATATAGACTTTAGAAACAACCCAACTCACCCTTTGTAACTGTGCTCTCCAGACTGGGGTTGAACACGTCTCCCGAAAAGAGGGTCAGAACCTTGGGCTGGTCCTCATACTGCTCTCCGTTCTGGTACTCGCGGCAAACGTTGATGAATCTAGGCAAACCGCCCACGGGCTCGGCGCTGGAAGGGTCGAGGTGATAGACGTCGTTGTAGTGGAGGATCCTCAGCTCAGGCGGCGAGTCGGCCTTGCCGTCATCACCAACTCTGCCAGAGGCAAAGGTGACCTGCGGTTCGGAGGTGACTTCAGCCATGGTGATCTCTTTTGTTCAGTCTTTCTCCGTCTCGTCTTTCTTTCCTCTCAAAGCTAAGAACCTTCTCTTCAGAAAGTCTTCAAGAATCGAATGATGACAGGAGCAAGCCTCTCACTTGGAGGCGCAGCTTTCTCGTCGACCCAAAACAAAGCGCTAACGGGCCATCATGCAGGTTCCGTCTCCAGTCTTTGCTCCCGTCAGCTCACGTGACGCAACAAGAAGCATGAAAATGTTAATTTGTGTTGCCAGTTGATTTGCCCCCCCCATTAAAGCTACTGCCAGCGCAGCAGTACGACGCTGTCATGTAAATGCCCTCCTCTCTCTCAATCAGCGGGCGAGGAGACATGTATTGGTGGGGGAGGTGAGGCCCGCAGAGGTACTGGCTCACGCGGAACATGCAGTGAGGCATCCGGGCCCAAGTCGGTGAGGCCGGCCAGTGGGAGCGGAAGAAGCTGTAGATGCCGTTGGAGAATGATGTGCCTTTAGTGTGCATTGGCGTGGCATCTGTACAAAGGGTTTAAGGGCAAAAAAGCTGTTTGACTCGTGTCATTATTAGTCGTGGAATTGACCTGTGGCTTGTTATTGTTAATATCGACCTCCTTATAGGTAAAGAAAGCTGACTCGTATGAATGCCTCAGTTGAGGATACAAGAAGAGAACAGACAGCAGAATGAGAGAAACTCTTGACAGGATGCTTCTGTCACTTCAGAATCTCTATCCCTTCCGGCAGCTCCCTCCCCTCAACCCAGGCCTTGATGGCCTCCGCAAACAGCTCGGGCTTCTGTAGGTTCCATGTATGCACCGCCCCTCTCACCACAGCGCCCAGGGATCCCTCCACGGGCATCTCCCTGCCCATCCGCCTCACCGCCTCGACGTCGTCTACCGTCTCCGCCGCAATCGAAAGCGTCCTCATCGGCAGGCTTCGCACGTCTTCCCAGGTCAGCTCCAGCAGCCCCATGTCTACCGCCCGGATCACCTCCCACCTCCTGTTGCGCCGCATCTCCGACAGCAGCCCCTCATGGTGCCGCATGCCTTGACCCGTTGCCACGCGCATGTACAGCCAGACGGGTACGAGCTCCAGCAGGAAGTAGGTCATGTAGTATGTGATGCTCGGGTGTCCGACGACCCATGCCCACTGACGCTCCATCGGATGTCCGGCCGTGACAAACGCCGAGAGCACCAGGTCCGGATGCCGCTGGCCGAGCCGGAGGGTGACAAAGGCACCCATCGAGAGGCCGACGACGTGGGCCCGGCCACCCTTTGCGTGCCGGCGGATCAGCGCCGCGACACGGTCGGCCGAGCTACCGATGTCGGCGGGTAGTATGTCCCGCGATCGAGAGTGGCCGCTGAGGTCGGGTGCGATGATGTGGTAGTTGCCCAGGTGAGGGATCACGAAAGACCACTCGATGTTTGAGTTGAGGAGGCCGTGGAGGAGGACGATAGTGGCGGGCCCATCGTCGTTGAAATCCATAAAATAGAGCTCAGGCTCTGTCTCGGTGGTTTCCTGTGATGCCATTCTGCTCAGATTTTGCAACCGTTGATGATTGTAGAGTCTACATTCTTCGTAGATGTGCTCATTTGTTGCTATATAGCCTGAAAGGTGTCATGGCACCACCTCGAATCTGCCTATCTATTCAGCTGAGAGGCATCCCGGCACACCACCCATCTCGGTTCTCAACATGATCCCACTTCGACATGTTTATTCCACGGCACTCGCGATGAGATCTCGAGATTGCCGATGCAGAATAATTAATGTCTAATCCTCTGAACCAAAGTCGCGGGACGTCATGTTTCGTCGCTGTCTGCTAAGAGTTTGACGATGGCTTCACAGTGCTTCACGTGTTTAGCCGGGTAGCATTGAAGCAACCTCAGCCCTTGGCAACGGTTATAAGCCAAGTATTAAGTCGTAGGGCTGTGCCGAAGCGCCTGCAACGGCGAGATCAGAAACTAGTTACGGCCTTGACACAAGTTTCGTTCCGAGCTTGCTCGCTAAAGAGTTTCTCAAGCAAAACTTGATGATCGTTTTGCTTCGAAAAATTCTCATCAGTGTTCCGTCTAGGCCATTGACACAGCAGCCGTCGTGGTCGTTACCGGAAGGTAGACGTTCCTGTTGCAAGACTGTTTCACCGTCTTACGCTACCACTGCCACGACGACTTTTTCGCCTCGACTGGCGCCTCACATGAACATGCTAATCACTCATGGCTCGTCTCAAGATTGAAAGAGAACAAAAAAGAATTCACAGCGCCAAACTGACTCGACCATCTTGGGCGCTAGACGGACATTCGGCACGACATGGGATCGCCGTGTTTCAAGATGCGGTCGACATGGGAATCACGAACCGCGTGCGCTGGGATTTTTCAAAGAATCCTATGACCAAAGATAGATGCCAATTCTCAAGAAAAACATCCAACAATTCAAGAAAATGAAGCCATCGCCAACTCGCAGTGGACTGATTGCCAACAGGGACGCTCAAGATTGTGCACCAATTAGACACTCAACTCCCGGGGCTGGTGGTCAGGCGGAATCCAGCCGGCCGTTAGTGGGCGAGGCGCCATGTGGAACAGGGGTTCAGCCCTGGAAGATACCCCTGGCCCAGGGCGACGGGTGCCCCTAGCGCTCCCTGACAGCCCAAGCGACCCCTGTGGCTGCCTGCCCGCCCAAGGCCGAACTGGTGGCCTCCCGTCCATGCATTGCATTGTGATGATGCTTTGCAGAAGCAGCGCTTACATTGTAATCTTTTCTTTTGATACTGGGGATGGTTACTCAATTATTTGAATATTTGATCAACACTCAAGTGTATTCTCTGAGCTGAGAGGCACAAACTCAGCTCAGCCTGCCTCAACTCCTCCACTCAACCAGCTCGCCCAGCTCCCTCCCATGGCCAACCTGAAACACCACCATCCACCACAACCACCAAACCGAACCCCGGAGAGACCATCACGCTTTGCCCAAGTGGAGGAGGATACCCACTAGCTCGGTAGACTAACCGTCGCCACCAACCGATCTGACACAGCCACTTGTCTTCAAGTTGTTGTGTGTGAGTTGCAGCCCATGATGCGACGGCAAGCGATACGCCTCTGGAAGAAAGGCCGAGACACAGAGATTTGTTTGAGTGCCGAGATCGAGTTGAATTGCTCTGTTCTCTGCTGTATCGTGAGGTAAAGAGGCCAGAATGATGTCAGTATGGGTTCCCTTTAAGCGCCCACAGCGATCTTCAACTCATCTCAGCCAACCACATAACATCAACACCTCAACTCGACGCTCTACAAGATCACATGCAGGTCCAGGCTCCTCTCCAAAAACTAGACTCCAACCCTTCCGTCCTTCCCGAACTCAAGAAACCCCTGCATCAACATCGACCCGTCCCTGTCACACCGTCAGTCGATCCGACAAAGGTAACCTTCTCTTCCGGTTTGGCTTGATAGCAAAAACAACCCCTGGCAGAAGCTGTGACAAGCCCCCCCGGGCCCCATTGCCCTTTTCATCCCCAGACGCCGCTCCCCTCTGCCTCTCTGCCTACCCAGAAGTAGAAGTGTCTAATCTCGTATATGGTCTTGGTCTCCGACTTACATTTATCATAGTCCGTCCGTCTTGGTCTGGTACGATTTCCCACCGTTTGGCGAGCGGCGTATTACATGGGCTGGTCCCCTCTTTTTTTATTCTTCTCTCTCTTTGCCCCCCTTGTTAACTTTTACTCTTTCTTGCCACGATCTGCCCTTCTTGTTGTTGATCTTCAATCTTTAATTCTCTTCTTCCCCTCCTTCGGGTCTTTTTTTACTACCTTAATCCTCGTTGGTCGTGGACCTGCTTGGCGACCTTTTTCCGAACACATTCGCTATATCCGAGATACCCAATACCCACCTCAACAGTCTGGTTCAACTGCTCAAAAGCCCATCATCTTTTAAGAGATAGCTTCAATTCTCGCCGCCGGACGGAATTAAATTGTCAGATTAATTGGAACTGGATTTGGATTTACCCAAGAAAAAAAAGAGCGCTCATCGACGTTACGACACTTTTCACGAAACTCACTCACCAACGACTTGACTCACTACCACTACGTATTGAAGGAGACGAAACTGGATTGATTGGAGAATTCTTTGCAAAAGAAAGAGTAGGAAACTATGGCTGCGGCCCTGTCACTTCGCCTCACGGCAACCGCTCTCCTCGCCCTCTCCGCTTCGGCATCATCTCTCATGGGCGACATCGTTCTACGCAGTGCCGACGATGTCCTCAACCGTCCCTACATTTCCCTCCTCACAAGTTCTCTCGCTGGCCGCGATGAAAACTCGACTCTCGACCAACTCCCCGCACCAAACGTGGCCCTCGCCAAGGACGGATCCCTCAACCTGACTGCTTGGAACGCCGACACAAACAAGGCATGCCGCGATATCCTCGGCGGCCTTCACCAGAGCACAAATCCCTCCGGCGCGTGCGTGTGCTACAACCTGCCCTCACTGGATATGAAGACGGGGGTTTTTGAGGCCGATCTACGATTGTTCAAGGTTTCCGAGGCGAGAGGTGGTTTTGCTTCAGTTGCTCCCGAGGATGTTCAGGTTGGAGTGACGTTTGACGGCGCAACCGTCATGCCCATTGACCCGAGGGATGTGAACGGCACGGGAATGGTTGGACAGGTTGCAAGCATGAGAAAGAGAGAGGCTGGTCCAGAGCTTCTGCAGACTTATATGTTTGTTGGAAGAATTGACCCTGACAAGATGAGGGACAACATGACTATGTAAGACAGCCTCCATCCCACGTTACACACACAGACACTAACATATTCAGGGCCGACCTCGAGTACATCATCATGCCAACCCTCACTCTCACCGCAAAGAACAGCACCGGCGGCACCATCCGCACAAACGTCTCCATCAACGAGGCCGCCTTCCTCACAGGCGTCTTCTCCCAGGACGTCGTCATGTCCGACTTTGCGCGAGCCCAGGCCGCCGTGGACGAGCAGGTGGCGGGCCTCAAGAACGGCACAGTCGCCTTTGTCCTCCCCGGCGTGCAGCTCATGGTCTTCCCCATCGGCCTCATCATCACGAGCATCTGGCTCGTCATCTTTGTCGGCGCCGTCGGCTTCGGCACGTACGAGCGCTTCAACTATGCAGAGATGTACAAGCGGAGACAAGCCGTCTCCGTGCCAAGAGGCCCGACAATATAATGCGCACAAGACTAAGGGGGAGAAAGCTGAGAGGGGGGGACCGCAAGACGGTCATTATTAAAGCGAGTTGTCTTTTGTCGAGATGCATAGCGGTTGTCTGTTTTACTACTACCTACTATTACTCTTTTTTTTTCACCATCTTCAAACTATTAGTCTACGCCGATTTATTATGGCACACTTTGTTCCTAGTTGATATCCGACCTTAACGAGGTCCGTAAATTCATCTTCTTCACCACACTACATTCCTAGCTACTTTACTAGACAAATCCCATAGAATCAATTGTTAAGCCAAACCTGAATGGAAATGCAACGGCTGGTTTCATCCCGACCTTCTATTACAATGCTGTGGCATGATTGTCTCATACATGAAACAACATCGTATGGTGTTGCAACCCTAACCCAAGACCCATGCAACGCGACGTCGTCTCAACTGACGCATGAATAAGAGGATTCTGGTATCATAAGCTAATATAGTCTGCAAAGGCATATCACCGTCAAAAACTGCCGGGCAACGAAAAACTCCAACCCTGTAAGGACCGTCCAGCTTCATGCAACAAGGTATCGATCGCCAAGCATGGTCAACGCCGATTACTTCCAACTCCCAAAAGTGCAAATACATGGTAACGCCGAGAGTGAATGAGTCCCTCTAATCTATGCAGCCACCATCTTTCTCTCCACGTCTCTCAATCGACCCTTGGCCCAGAGGAAGCACTCTGTGAACACCATGTACCAACCTGTCACCATCCAGAACGAGAGGATGATACCCAAGCCACCCATGAGTCGTGCATCGACTATTCCCCGCGTGACAGTGTCGCGCATAGCATCGTTCATCATGAGCCAGCCGTAGATTGGGATGAGTTGCTCAGTGGACGCGCTGAATGTGGACAGTTGACGGCTGAGTGGCCCAGCTCGCTCGCGTTTCCATTCTGAGATGGTATCGCACATACGCCATGCGACCTTGTTGTTGATCTTCTCCCATGTAGCCTCGGAAGCATAAGACCTCGCAGCCTGTCCCATCTGCGAACGTAGGGCATGGTCTCTGCCGAGCTTCATGGCCTTGGTGACGAAGCCGTCGAGATCATCCGACGGGATGAGGAAGCCATTGTCTCCGTGTTGAACAATATCCGAAGGACCACCCTCATCCCGCGCAATGACAGGAACGCCACTAGCCATAGACTCCAACACGACGAGTCCAAAGGTTTCCGTCACCGAGCAGTGTAGAAAGACGTCGCCGCTGGCATAGGCAGTTGCCAGATCTTCGCCGACCTTGAAGCCCGCAAAGATGACCTTGCCCTTTTCCCTCAAGGGATCAAACAGCTCTTGCACCTCCTTCTCCACGTCGGGGTTTCGGTTGCCGCCCACGATGTAGAGCTTGAAGTCTAACCCTCTGGCGTCGAGCTCCTTGGCTGCCTTGGCCAGAAAGTCAAAGCCCTTCTCGCCAGCGATACGAGAGACCGTCACAAAGATGATCTCGCCATTCGGTGCCAGTTGTCGGCGCAGTTCTTCGCTCTTCATCTTGGGGTTGAACAGCTCGGTGTTGACGCCGCGTGTCAAAAGCTCGAGTTTATCCTCCTGAACCTTTTGCTTCACCAGATATCGCTTCACGAAGCTCGAAGGGTAAAAGATGGTCTTGACTGAGGGGTGTCGGAATAGGTAGCTCTGGACGGCTGCAAAAGCGAAAACAGCGACATGGCTGAGCGGCGCAGGAAAAAGGATAGAGCAGTATCCAGCAAGGTCGGTCTGGAAGTTGCAAATGACGGGAATCTGCTTCTCCTTGGGTTGTTGTCTCAGCTGGAGCATCACCTGGAAGCCCAGGCTAGCCGGACTCGCCAGATAGATCAGGTCGGGAGGGGAGTCGTCACCAAACGTTTTGGTGAAGAGTGTCGAGTTGCGCACGGGATAGACGATAGAAAGCTCCGGGTTGAAAGGAAGAGGGTACCCTGTAACCCGCACTTCAGGTTGCTTGTCCGCAGGAGACATGGATGGTGATGGGGGCGGCGTAAAGGTGTTGTGCTGTGTATGGTTATGAGGCGCAACCACTGCAACTTGAGCGCCATGAGCTCGTAGGTGATTTACAAGCATCAGAGTGGTGCGACTGACGCCATTGACGGGACCGAACGACTCGGTGCAGAGAAGAATGCGCTTCCCCTTGAGCGCATCCGGGAACTTGGAGAGGTCATGGCTGGGATAGCGCGACTGCGGCAGAGGCACTTTGGCGAGCATGATGTGGACTTTCAGCAGCAAATGCTATCGATCGAAAGATTTGTTGTCGAGCATAGTCTCGAGCGATCGAAAGAGGCGGGAAGCCTCTCTTTTCTCTGTTGCGCGTTATGGTCACACTTGGACTTGAAAGAAATGCCTCCCACGTGGATGGAGGCAAGGGCACGAGAATGGACAATATGCATCGCTGCAGGCACATGAGGCGCTATATTCTCGATCAATACGGCTGCAATAGGCGTCAGAGTCAACACCACGAGGAGAGTCTGCAGGACGCAGTTCGTCGATCCTTCAGGGTACCGACTGGTGGGGGAGGGGCAAATGGAGGGGTAGATCTTGATCCAATCGTCCCATGGTTGAAGTTAAAGGCTACAGCGGTGTATTGCATGGATTCCTTTGTCTGGTTGTGCCTTTGGCTGTTGAAGAAGCATCTAGTCGGGACGGCTTGAGGGAACTTGACAAGTCGATAGTAGAATCACCATCAATGCCTAGCATCAATGACGATGGATGATGCTTGGCCATCTGAGCTATCATTCTGAAATCACTTGATCTCAAATCCTCTCGAGCATGCCGTTCTTGGTGCCTTTTCTGTCACAGCCGCCTCAGCCTGACGATTTGCGACGTCCTCTCAGAAGTCAGTTGCCTGCTCGACCGACGCAGGCTATTCGCTCACCTCCGTAGCTTCGGCGAACCCTTGTCCGGGGCGCGTGTGACGGACGAATCAGATGCGTCCTCAATATCACATTGTCCCAACACGCCCAATCGCCCGTTGTCGCGCAAATGCGAATGGGCATGGGAATCGCAACCCCCGTGGTCGAGCCGGTCTGGGCCATTGGCGGTTTAGGGTGAGCTTGTATCGGATAAGGACCGATGCCGTGCCATTGCGATGGCGACTCGTGACTGAATCAATCTTTTTCCTTAAGGGTAGAATTGTTAGTGAAGAAGGCTGGCTTTGCAAGACATCGGGAAGAGACGGAGCGCGATCGCTGTTCTTCGCTAGTCAGCAAGGGGCTGGAGGCGGAATCTATCGGTGCAAATGGTGGCGCCATGATCGAGCCGGACGAGTCTTTAGGCAAAAACCCATCCTCAAAAGCAAAGCCCCAGTCTGTTGGGTTGGTTTGAGGAACTGCCGACAGCAAGAAGATGAGACAGGTGGAAAAATGCAGAGGAGCGGTGTCAGCGGCACGTGAGGACATCACGTGCATTCCTTACATCCTATCTGCTGCTTCAATCCATTGCATGAGTTGTAGGATCAGAATGAGACCAATCCTTGATGAATCCTAGCGAGCAATGTCTCAACTAATCCTACTGAGTCTTTTTACTCAATTAATGCGGATATATCTGCAACGCCACAAATGACAGGGCTGGTGGAATGGACCTGTGATTGACCAGGGAGAGTGAGACTCCGAAATGCCCACGGCTCACCGTACCTTGTTCCATCCTCATTGCACTCTCACCTTACCAACTACCTAGGCGACGTGTATGCCATTCATCGATGGGGAGATAGCTCGGCATCACAATTCGAGCAGTCCGACATAGAGAGCCACCTGCCAAGCGAAAGTCGGACGGCGTTGATGGGGCCGGCCGGCCGGGTCAGTCAGGTGGGCTCGAACGATGGGATGGATTGACGGACCGATCGATAAAACCACGTTCAAACCTGAGAAAAAGGAACAAGTCTCCTGCTTCAACTCGGGCTGGAGCCTCCGCTGCTGTCCCCATCCCCGTCCCGTCTTGGCTTGCCGGGACCCCGTCAGCCTTTTTTTTTTTTCTGCCATGGGAAATCATGACGCATGAGGTCCCTGGCATCATGACACCCAGGGACAGCAATCAAACAGCTAGGGGAGGGGCGAGTTTAATTGGTCGCAGGGGTGCGCCTTTAATTAGGTAGCTTAGTTGAAGACAAGGGGGCATATCGCCAGATGGATGGTGGTGGCATCCGCGGCAGCATGGAGGCTCAGGCAAGGCAAAGCAGCTTGGAAGTACCGGAGAGAACGTGTTACTTTGATCAACCGACATGAACCTAAGCGCGCAGTTTCGGATAGGTCAATTCCTGACGTCCAAGGATATGGCCCTGGACAGTGTTCCAACCAGGACATATCACGTCTTGTTCCAGCATCTATTCCATACCTGGTCCGTTAGTCATGATATCAATTCAAGCCTAGCAAGGGGCCACGCATTCAATCAACATGTTCGATTTGCGCGGGAGCTAGCGGGCTGGTATCAAAATGCCACTAACACTCAAAACAGCGAGTCTGATAAAGTGGCTCATTTCCAAGGCTGGGCTGTTGTTAATTCTCGCAGGGAAAAGGGTTACAAAAGAGGCAGGCCGGGTAATTGCGACTTGACAGGTCAAACACAAACTGATGATTGATGGGCAATCAATTCGTATCCTAGCTTTGCCGATCGTGATGGGGGATGGCTGGTGCTGACAGTGGAAGGGAAGGGCATGAAACTTGAGGTTGTCGAGCCTCAGGTAACATGCCATCAGACCAACAACCGACGACTCGATCTCAGCCTCCGATAGTTCAGGGGCTTGAAAAAAGAGTCGAGAATAGGCCGAGAGCTGTCATCAGCCGTGTGGCTTGAATACTGTCTCTCTGTCAATCTCAGTCAGCACTTGGAAACAAAGGGTACGTGTTCCGCGAATGTACGGAGCCGGCCGAGTAAGCAATCATCAATCCCGTCGCCGACGACCAACAACGAACCATGCACTGCGCTGCAGACACGGCACAGTGCTTCTTTCATGTTCGGCTAGGCTCCGCAAGGGAATGACGGACATGGCA